CCAGTGTTGACCTAAGGCATGTTTCAGGATTAAACCGAAGTTATCTGATTGTTAAATGGTACTTTCACAGACAAGGGTCAGCGCTAAAGGTACCGCGTTGGTGTAGTTAAGCTTTATTCTAAAAAGGTTGTCCAGAAACATCTGAGATCAACTTTTGTTTATCGAAAAGGAAGTCCAGCTGACTTCAGGTCAAATATGTTTTGTTACAACGACCTAGATGACAGATAATTGATGTAAAATCCACTTCGGGGAAAATTTTCAGGATTGGAGTGACCATGACTAAGGAGGGTAGAGTGGTCACCTGCTGATCAGAGCATGTCAAAGTGTCCTTGGATAAAATAATGAACTTCAAGTAGCCCCCACAATCTGCACATCAAGGTGGTGAAAGGGTGAATGTGACCACGAATGCCATTTACTTTAAGTGGTTGAAAAGGCTTGAAGAGTGCTCTATGAATGCTGAATTGATGTGTGCAAAGGACATTGTCCTGACCATGGAAATACATATGAAGCTCAGATAATTATGTACACTCCTGTTTAAAGTGAGGGTGTGTATTTTCCCTGGCAATAGAGGGCAGTACATGCCTTAATCATTGCAAGCAAGCAGTAGTTTTGTGTTTGAGTAAGACCTCACCAATGGATGACCATTAGGGTCAAAAATCCCTGGGAGCGAAATTTTTGAATGAGTACACCGTCAGATCGTTCAACCTCCACCAAAACAACAAGCACATCAGACTCCCTTTTCATCACTGGTTACGAGTGAAGAGGTAAATGTGTAAAACAACAACATTTATCAATGGCGAAAGTTTTATAACCATGTGTTTAACATCTGTAAATGTGTTTTGTCCTCACGAGCTCCCGTAGAAGGAAACACGGCATCGCCCTGAGACTTGGACCCACGCCAATTTATTTAAGACCCCATTTTTATGGTTATTTGTTTTTTCAACAACTGGGCATCATTTATTTCATTTTAACAACATTTCCATGGACATTTCCAGAGATTAGCGGTAAAACTTATAATTAGTCTCTTTAATGACTTAATAAGGTTCTGAAATATTGAAAATTAAGGCAAAAATGAAAGCACCATGTTATTATGACAAAAGGCCTACACTCAGGATAAAAAAAAATCCTAAACAAAGCGATACTCATAAGTGTTTACTGAATGGGTCTTTTTTTTCTTTTTTGACAAACCAAAACATAAAATCATTTTAAGCTCTTTAATAAAGTTTTAAAGACTCTTTCAGCCAGTTTCCTCCAAGCTCTCATAAAAACGCTAAGCTAACATATATATTACCTTGTAACAATAGACTGGCTGGCATTTTCTTTGCCTCTGAGGCTGACTGTCTACAGCACAGAAATGAGACAGCACAGTAGAAATGGCCTTTTTTATAATAGCTGACAGCAATATATATTCATCTTTGTGCTCCACTTTAGAGTCTATTGAGAAGAGACAGGATGGTTGACACAGCAAGTCAAATCAATACAAATCAGCTAAAGGGCAGAGGCCTGAGAACTGAAGGTAATGACACTTTGATGCTTCAGTTGTTTGCTGAGTTTAGTGTGATGCAGCACTACCTCAGAAAAACTAAATAATACCCAATGAACTGGTACTTGGCATTGAATTATATGGAAGAAGAAAGAATGTAAGTATTTGAAAAGCTGATTTTTTTAAATACGTTTTTAAATACATGTGTGCACGTGCATGTGCTTCTGACATATCAGCGCTTTGTGATTTATATCTGTGAAAGGCGCTCTATAAATAAACTTTTACTTACTTACTTACATATAGCTTGCCCCTTTTCATTTAAAGGTAGAATATGGAATATTTTGATAAAAAGCTATATTTAAATAATAACAATACTTCCATGGGTGTTTAGAGGCGTGCAGAATGAATGTACAGTTGTCCATTAAAAATTAGATTTAAAAAATAAAGAATCAAATTTATTTTTGTCAGGAACAACACTGGGTTTATGTTTACATCTACCAGTCACTAGAGGGCACCGTTGCGTTAACAATTCTGCTCGGCAAGGCTGGGAATGTGTAAAATGACGAACTTAACAAGACCAGGGACTGGTTCTGAGCCCAGAAGATTTTCTAACAGTACAAAAACTCATCAGTAGATATTAGTCCTTATCCTGTAAGATTTGTCACTGAACATGGTGCTGGCTGGTCACTTAACGTGACAGCAGTCAACCAACACTCCGACGGCTAGAAAATGTTTTCTGTTGTTGCAGCTAACACCTCTAAAAACTAGATGTCGCCAGTGTCCGAGTTCCATCTTAAACATTTAATGTTGGGCACATATTACATCTTTTTTGTTCTTTGCATAAAATCCCTCTCACATAAAATAATTCAGCAGTTTTACTCATTTTCAGTACCTTCCAGAATGAGCCGTTTTAGGGCTCTGTCGCTTTAAGAAAACAAGCTGGAGCTGGCCACGCCCACCCACCCCCTGTTCAGACTGCTATAGGACAAATGTGCAATGTGTACAGTGCAGCCCAATAATAGGTATGTTGACTTATCATTCTATCAAGTAATCAGATGAATGGTTGATGAATCGTTTGGTCAAATAATCAGACAACTGGTTAAATAATCCAATGTCAACAAATCAAAGGGTTGTTTAAATATGGGTGGCTTTTCCTATCAAACTGAGATAGAGTGGTGGGTGCACTCCTCATAGTGTGAGGGTGAGGCGTGGCTTGCACGTGCTAGCACTCACAATCTTTACCCTACACAAAAGTACTACAAGTTGGTCAGTAACAATGTGAGGTTATCTGTATGTCACACTGGACTTCCATCAGACTCAGAGCCAGAATCGGCTGAGGCCAGAAAGCTCTGGAGCAACCAGTGGGTCCACTACCTAGCTGACGTCACATTTTCAGCACAGCTTGGTACGCTTTGGAGCAACGAAACGGCCACTGAAAGGGGTAAATACCGACCTGTGCTGTTGGAAAAGGCTGTCCAACCAGACCAAACCCATTCAAGTCACGCTGAGTCATGCTGCTGGAAACGGGGCAATGGAAATCAGAGCAAGTGCTCTTTCCTATACGCAGTCGGTCATAATTTAATTTAGCAGCCATTTCTAGTTTCCAGATGTTGTCACAAAGCATCCAGAGCTACTGCAGGTTCTCATTAAAGCTGCACAATGTAACAAAGATTTATCATCACTGCAATATCAGTATCACAGAATCATAGTCTGCCATATTTGCATTCATGCTCTGCACAACAATAGTGTATTTAATGAGTTGGATGGACTTTCACTGCTCTTGATTCCTGCCTAATGTAAATAGTTACCAAAACCCTAGAACAGAAAGAGAGAAAGATGATGACGAATTTATCACAACCAATATCTTCTTCGCCTTATTCAATAATACTGCAGTTGCACATTTCAGATGTTTTAGATACTCTGATCACATTTAATAGAAGATGTTTATGTTGTACAACGTGTAAACGTAGGCTATGAGTTCTTCTAAAGGTTTTTGAGCTGGCGACGTTTAGAAAATACACAATTGAAAGGTCCAACCCCCTTTCTTCTAACTCTCCTCTTAAGCCACGTCTCCAGAATACAGGCGAATGCTGAATGCTGCCAAAAAAACTATGAACATGTAAGGTTATTTTACCTTTTTGACATAACTCCCAATATAATGCCCCCAGGCTACATAACAGTGTAACAGTTTATGCTAGCTAATACAGATGGCCCAGCTCGGGCTTCACTTCTTGTTCAGCTGCTCCAAGCCAACAAAGACCAATAAGAGTATGGCCCAATCCCACACTTTCCCGGTTCCAGGTTCTCAAGTGCGGAAATTGATCATCGATGCGGACTTGGGTGAAGGGTATTACCCACAATCCATTGCTGCGAGAGAAAAGGCTCAAGGGTCTTTTCTGAAAATATGTATGCGAAGCTTCCTGTCCCAACTCGGCAATTATTTGCACACTTGTGTATCATGAACTCGAAGCCTTACTGCACACTTCCTCCACGTGCACTACACCGAAGACCGTAGGGCACAGTGCAAGTATTGGTATTGGGCCCATGAACAGACAAGTGAGAGACTGTCAGAGGGCAGTTTCGTGGATAGATCAGGATCCAATCGTTAAAAACGGGATGTTCTTAATGATTGGATGAGGATTAAAATGATTCCAGTTTATTAGAAGCCTTTCAAGCAATATAGCTAAATAAGCTCCAAAAACATCTCATACTCCACCAGTAAATAAAAACCTGTCAACTGGGCCCAAAAGGAGGCTTTTTTTTTGTTGCAAAATATGAATTTTGAATAAACCTCTAAATATGACCTTGCCTGGACATTCATGCTTTCACACCTACACCACACAAAGCAGAGGAGTGGAACAACCTTGACCATGAAAACAGCAATGATTTGTAAAACAATGCTGAAAAGTGCTAAAAAGTGACTTTGTAGATCAGATTATAAAATATCACTTCATCTATTGCACGCAGCCGACAATGTTTTCAAAGTTTTAGGAGCCAAAATGTTTGACCAGCCTATTTCAAACGTGGAACCAATATAGTCACAACCAAAACAAGCTCTTGTACTCATTACATCAACATTCACACGCCACTGTAACACCCACTGGCTGCAGATGTTTGGCTAGGTGTCATATTGATGAGCACTGAAGGGAGAAGGACTCGTAAATAACACTTCACTTGGTTTATGTGTGTGTGTGTGTGTGTGTGTGTGTGTGTGTGTGTGTGTGTGTGTGTGTGTGTGTGTGTGTGTGTGTGTGTGTGTGTGTGTGTGTGTGTGTGGTATTGCCCTAAAAAGGCAATGCCCTACCCAGTCATTCCTGATGTTTATACCACAGGGTCAGAAACACACACTTGTCTTGGAAAAGGAATGCATATGACAGGGCGCTCAGATAGACAACAGTAAAATGGAGAAGGTGAATGAACCAAAACCCTAAATGTACCTGATGGTGGCCAGAGAAACTAAAACAAACATGAGCCAAGTAAAATCAACTCACAAAACACACCCATTCCCCCGTCGTACCTGTTCATGGTACTCAATCCCCATGCTGAGGGTATTGACCAGGATGGCGATCATAATCCCTCGGTTGAAATATTTACTTTCAACGATCCTTTTCAGTTTTTCCCTAAAGTGTCTCCAGGCCTGAAAAGCTCCGTTTCTGTACTCCATGATCCCTCGTCGGCGTAAACGGCTCCTACATCCTCTTACATCACCCCCCTGGATAGAAGATCTTGGTTACAATTAGCAATTAAATAAATACAATCACATCTGCCATCACCCACTCTGACCTGAGGGAAATCATATAGTCCATCAGCCTCACTCTTGCCTCCTTCCAGGTCTCCTAGTTCCAGGTCCAAGCTCTCCAGGCTTTGGGCACACTGGGGGCAGTTGAGCAGTTCCAAAAGCAGGGGGGTGGGCACCACGCTCGCCAACTGGAACAGCAGCCTCTGGCGGCCTGATGGGACGTAAAGATGCAGAGGGAATGTTCTTATATCTAAGAATTAACATTCGTTGAGCCAATAAAACATGACTTGTATAAAAGTTGTACCTTCATCAAAAGGCCAACCGCCATAAAGCATTATCTTTGATACTAAAGTTTGTTGTTTTTGAGACTTCTTTCATGTAAATGAACACAAGTTTCTTTGAAGAGATGACCTAGACCTGCTGAAACCTGTCTAGATACTCTATAATGTGTCACAACACTTCCAAAACATTCATGAGAGTTCTCTTTTCCCTCGATTCTAAAACCTCGTTTCTACTTTTCCAGCAGCTAGTTTCTGCTCACACACACACAAATGAAGGAAAACTGTTTCCTTTTATACTTCTCTGTTGGTGAGTCAGTGTTGCAAACCAGGTAAGCAGGAGGTGTAGACCTTTTCTGGCAGGTCTACCTTCCATTGCATTGACGTCTATTGGTCGACGACAGTTTATTGACTTCAGCTTGAAACGCAAATAGCTTGAAGGAGGTGTGAAGTTTGACATTCTTGAGTTGACATTGGAATGTGTAATTGTTTTCATTTTGTTTAATAAAGTTTAAATGCCAATCCACTCAAGGAGCAAAAGCTGCCAGACAGCGAGTTTTCATCGAGCTGGAACTGCATGATTTTACATGTTGTGGCATGTTGTTGGGCCGGCCAATCACAGACGTGCAATCTCTGTTGCATTCAACAGGTTGGGTCCTAGCATTGATGGATAATGCCGCTTGGCATCTGCACCAATACGCAGATGCACCAAGAACTCGTTGCATGACCATATAAACTTTAAATTTAGCGCAATGGTTGGTATTTTGGCACAGCAGAACGTGGTGACTTCAAAATTATAATTTTATTACAGTTAATGTTATATAAACTAAGACTTTTTGAACAAACCTAACTGATTTATTTTTATTATTATTATTATTTTTATGAATAAGGACATTATCAAAATTCCCTATTGAGACAATGACCTAGCTAATTGTCTGCTGAATGGACACTCAGTGGTTCTGATGTTCTATGTCTGTAGGCACACACACGCTTTTCTTCTTCAAATAACCTTTCTTTGTGTTGTTTTTAAATGTATTACTGGGTCTTTTTGCAGGATGAACCGACACTATTTCATTAGAGCACAGCTCTGATCTTCTGGTGATTTGATATTGAACTTTATTTTTGGGACCCTTATTTAATCAGGCAAAAGGGGACTAAGTGTTAATTGTACACAGATATAATTATGTAATTGGACCACCATTAGCAAGATTTATGAACTCAATTTCATTCATAATTTCAGACCTTTTTTTCTGACAAAAAAACTACTGCAGCATTTTAGTAAAACAAATAAGAAAAGTAAAAGTTGTGAAATATTGTAGAATGATGCCAGGTGATGGACTGTTTATATAAAAAAAATGAATCTAACTACATTTACCTTATTTATTTGGAGGACATGCCATAGAGATAGTTGAATGTGGATGTCATTGCCTACTTTGTCAGTAGTGGGTTAGGGTCAGGAAACGAACCCTAACCCTAACCAGTAACAGTGATCTGCTTCTGGAAAAGCAAATCAGTGCCGTAACAAAAGCTAGCTTTAATCCGTGAAGGAGGATAGCCAAGGTCAAGCATCTGCTCTCAATCCATGACGATGGTGATTCACGCGTTTATTACATCACGCCTTGACTATTGCAACTCCCTGTACCTTCGTCTCCCTCATTCTCACCTCTCCCGTCTTCAAATGGTGCAAAATGCAGCAGCACGCCTATTGACGGGTTCGAGAAAGAAGGATCACATCACCCCAAATTTAGCTTCGCTGCACTGGCTGCCTGTCGATTTTAGGGTCCAGTACAAGGTTCTTTTATTGGCTTTTAAAACTGTACATGGCCTTGCTCCGCAGTATCTGTGTGAACTTTCAGTTGCTCACTCCCCGTCTCGGTCACTGAGGTCAGCTGACCAGTTTCTCCTGGAGGTGCCAAGAGAAAGCTCAGGGGTGATAGAGCTTTCTTAGTAGCAGCTCCAAGGTTGTGGAATACACTCCCGATCCACATTAGGATGGTTTCCTGACGGTCGGGTTTTAAATCACTTTTAAAGACTCATCTGTTCTCAGTTGCGTTTAATTCAGTTTGAGAGTGCATCTGTTTTAGTAGATTTTATGTCAGTTTGATTGTTTGTACTTTTCATGTTTTTACTTTTTGATGAACTTTTATCTTATTTTTAGCATTATAGGAAACTTCTGTTCATTTTGGCTTGTTAGGCACTTTGGTCAGCTTTTATGCTGTATAAATGACTTGACTAACCTTAACTATGAACAGGGATTATTTTTTTCCTGTTTGTATAAACTGAACCTTCAGCTAACTCTAGTTCAGATTGAACAGGCAATACAACAGTATGAATCAGCAGAGGCTGGCCTGGTAACATCTGGTGTAAACATCACAAGAACAAGTAGATAGTTTTAAGTAGTGAAAATAAAAAATGTTCTTTCTGCAACTGTTTTCCTATTATTTGAGCACCTCAAGCACCTACCTTTCATTATTTTAATTTCTGTAAAAAGCAAAACGCAAAAAAAAAAAAAAAAAAAGACACTGGTGAGAAAATAAAATGAGTGAATGAGACTCGGCTAAAAAGCTATTTTCTTAATAAGTAGACAAAAGACACAAGCTGTAGCAGCAAGTACTGCATGACCATCATCATTCCAGTGATCTGTTTCCATCTTCTATGCTCTGACTATGGATCTAAAATATGTGCAGAGAAATTACTACAGCTGAAAGCTAAAAGCAGAGAAGCTCCAAACGTTGCTTCAACGGCAGGTAAAGTTCTGCACAACGCTGCCATAAACCGTTATTTATGTCTTTTTTATCACGGCTGTAGTGGCTGCATCAGATTTAACTTTGGTTTTGGTTTGGTTGACAAAATGCTCGTCACAAATTAATTTAGCAAATTCCTTCAGGGAAAACAAAACACATGTTGGGCTGAACCACCTCCTTATATTGGATTAAGTTTGATCAGATTATAGATTTTACTCAAATTAAATTTGACAGAAAAACTGTGTTAAAAAAGATTCAAAGGACACCAGGAAGCAGTCAAAACCTGGATGGATCCAATGTTCCCTCATGTAGAAAGAAAAAATATTCATTCATAAAAAAATCATAAAAGATATATATATATATATATATATATATATATATATATATATATATATATATATATATATATATATATATATATACATATATATATATTTTTTTATTATTTTTATTTTTGTATATTTTTTGGACTGCATTAAGTTTCTGTTGGCATCAACGACCTGACTATCTTCAAATTGCACCTGATTACTCCAATTAGTACAAATGGTTCAAACACCAGAACCAATAAGGCTTCTCTTATTCTCTCTCTGCCAATCCTCAACCAACCACAGTACACTAACAGCTGACTTCAATCAGGAACTTATCTGTGTTCATTTAATTATGCCTGGGTCTCAGTGGGCACCAGTCAGTGTAGTGTATCACACCTTTTAACTGCCTCATTCCTCAACCTGAGAATACCTCTTCCTTTACATCATTTTTCATAGGTTTGATTAATTTTATCCACTCATCCCATTTTATTATGTCACATCCCCTTTTTGCAGCTAATACCATCTAGTTTCATCTCAGTTTTATGCAGAATACTGTTCCATACCTGTTTATATTTACTTTCCCTCCCCTAGCTGCTCCCCACACACTCGGCGCTGGCCCTTTAGCCACCTCTACACTGATGACTGTAACACTTAAGAAATTGATTTCCTGTCAGGGCTTTAAGTGCTGCCCGAGACACAAACAGCCCAGCGGCTACTTCAGGTCAAGCTCAGAGAGCAGACGTGCTAAAAGACAGATGCAAAGCAGAGACTGAGAAGAGTGATGAAACCAACACCATGAAGCCCCAGGGAAAGATTCAATTCTTAACATTTAAGGAAATTAAAAGACTAATTCAATGCACATAGGAAGGAATATGTGAGGCTCAGCATTGGCTTGTTTCCTGTTCAGAGATACAGCAAAGATTTTAAAAGCAACTCTAAAAAACTTTTCTAAAGGTTTTTAATGAGAGGCTGAGCGAGAGTTTCCTGACTTCTTGCTACTTGGGGCAGCAGTAGCTCAGGAGGGCAGAGCGGGTTGCCTCATGATCGGAGGGTCATGGGTTCGATTCCAGCTACTGCCAGAGGTATTTTGCTGTTGTGTCCTTGGGCAAGACACTTCACCCAACTTGCCTGTGTTGGTAGTGGTCAGAGGGGCCGACAGCGCCAAATGGCAGCCTCGCCTCTGTGAGACTGCCCCAGGGTGGCTGTGGCTACATAGTAGCCTATCATCACTAGCAGTGTGTGAATGTGAGAGTGCATGAAAACATCTTTGAGTGTCCTAAAAGGTGCTATATAAGTTTGATTATTATTATTATTATTATTACTACTACTATTACTATTACTAGCTGTCGGTTACCGTCGTCTGGAGAGCCTCTATCCCTATCCTTTTGCTTTTTGTTGATCCTTTCAAATGCCTGAAATGTCACTTCCTTTATTTTCTCTGTCTCCAAGCAATCACAAATCTCAAGGTGGTTTCAAATAAAGGGGCCCCACGCAGATTCCGGGCACCCTTAAACATTTTGAAAACTTGACTGAAACTGTTTTTGCAGTCAGTCACAAACAGTCAAAGCCCAGTGAGATGCTGGCTTAGCCATGCTGCTTACCTAGATGGCACCATCTTGTCAAGGTCTCTACATCAGAACTATTTCTTTACGGCTATCTAGAAGCTCCATCTCCTGTACAGACCTATGTCTAGATGTGGCGGTAGCTGCCCTTTTTCTTATCTGACAGTATGTATTTCATCACTTTTCTTACTGTGCTGTCCCATGAGCTGGTAGAGCTTATTCAGTGACTCCGTGTGTTCAGACGCTGATGTATGCTGCTCCGGACTTTGCCCGCTCTGCTTCGAGTGCGAAGGTGGCGTCTTGCTGCTGTAACTGCACACGAAGGATGGCAGAATGGTCGGATAGTTCATCCCTCCGTTCAGTCGCCCGAAGAATGTGCCAACTCCCTGAGTAACAACAGTCGGGTTATCGCCGCTGTTTCCGTTTGTACTGCCTCCCTGGACCTTCATCTCCAGCTCTTCGCCTGCTCCTTCTGTATCCGTGTGTTCAGCGGTCGCCACGCTGACTGTGTGCTGCCCGCCATTGCTGAGGCGACAGTGTTGGTGCTGATGGTGCTGGAGGAGGTTGTGTATTGGCCTCAGCCACAATGCAGTACCTAGGCCCCTACTTGAACCTTGGCCGTGCCCATTCCCTCCACCGTTGCTGCCACCACCACTGCCATTAGGGTTCACCTTTTTACGCCGTTTACTGTCGAGTGGAACAAGAGCAAAAGTTGCACACAGAAAGGGGAAGTTTCAGCATGCAAATAAATGACATACACTCATCACTGTACCTGTGCCAGCCATAGTACATCCTCTGCAGCCTGCGTCTCAGTTTACGGTAAAGGTGACTGATATATCGCAGCATCTCTTCATAGCACGAGCCTGGCTCGCTGTAGCTGGCCAGGGTTGAGTCGTTGGACATGTAGCGAGCACGCTGCTCCCTCATCAGGGCGTTCTCCCTCTGCTTTGTCTCAGAAAACTGGGTGGCAATGACCACGAGGCACAAGTTGATCATAAAGAAAGAGCCCACCTGGTCGGAGAAAATAAAAAGCAAGTGATTAAACCCACGAAAATGAAGACCATCTGTAGGTGGAGTGGGTTATTTCGGACTGGAATGACAGTTGTATTTGTGTGACTTTAACGAGAATTCTGTTAGGTTCAACAAACGATTAAGATATCCACCTTATTCCTGAGCCGGCTCATGTAGAAACCATGATGTGAGCAACATCCAGTGAGATACCGGAAGTAGTGCATAGCCATTGGTTTACATGGTGAGGTTTCGTTTCTCCTTGCAGTTTTTTTGAACATTTCAAGAAGATTTTAAAAACTATTTGATCTGTTGGTACCCTTCGGTCAATAAAAAAACACAGTGGTCACAGAAAGTACTTGAATCTGTCAAAAGTAATAATAAATAAAAATTCTATGAAATTTAACCAATGAAAGTCAGACATTGCTTTTCAACCATGCTTTAACAAAGTTATAAATTTTTATTATCATGGAACAGGCCTGGAGGAAAAGACTGAAAATAATGTGCCCAAAGGGACGTGTTAATTCAAGGTGTGTCCACTAATTGGTATCACAGGCGTCTACAATCTTGTAATTAGTCAGTGGGCCTTTATATGGGGCCCCAAGTAGTCACTGTGTTGTTTGGTGACCAGAGGAAGCGAAGGAAAGAGTTGTCTCAGGAGATTAGAAAGAAAATTATAGACAAGCATGTTAAAGGTAAAGACTATAAGACAATCTTCAAGCACCTAGTTCACCTGCTCCTGTGACTACAGTTGCACATATTATTCAGAAATTTAAGATCCATGACTGAAGCTAATCTCCCCGGACATGGCTGCAGGAGAAAAATGGATGAAAAATCAAAAAGAAGGATAACCTGAATGGTAACAAAAGCGCAGAGAAAAACATCTAAAGAGATTCAAGGTGAATTTCAAGCTCAAAGAACATGAGTGTGAGACTAAAACAGAACTTTTGCCAAGGCACATCAGCTCTATGTTCACAGGTGGAAAAATGAAGCATATCAAGACAAGAACACTGTTGCTACTGTGAAACACGGAGGAGGCTATGTTGTAATTTGGGGCTGCTTTGCAGCATCTGGCACAGGGTGTCTTGAATCTGTGCAGGGTATGATGGAATTTCAAGACTATCGAGGGATTCAAGAGAGAAATGTGCTGGCCAGTGTCAGAAAGCTTGGTCTCATTTGCAGGTCATGGGTCATGCAACAAGACAATGACCCAAAACACACAACATTGGACTATTCTAAAGTGGCCTTCAATGAGCCCTGACCTCAATCCTATTGAGCATCGTGGGAGTGGGCTGAAATATGCCGTTTGGAAAAGGCGCCTTTCAAACCTGAGACAACTGGTGCAATTTGCTCATGAGGAGTGGGTCAAAATATCTGCTGAGAGGTGCAGAAGTCTCATCGACAGTTACAGGAATCATTTGATTACAGTGATTGCCTCAAAAGGTTGTGCAACAAAATATGAAGTTAGGAGTAGCATCGTTTTTGTCCAGGTCTGTTCCATGAGGTTTATTTTTTTTTAATAATTGTGTTGAAGCATACTTGAAAAGCAATGTCTGACTTTTATTGGTTACATTTCATAGACTTTCGTTTATTAGTACTTTTGTCTAATTGAAGTTATCCCTGTGACCATTATGGGTTTTTCTTTCATTGGCCAGGGTATCTGCAGGTTTAAGGGAGCCAAGTTTAAGACTTTTAAGACCTTTTTTAAGGCCAATTTGACCAAATTTAAGCTTTTTTTTTTTTTTTAAATTACATTTAAGCTATAATTTCCAGCTATTGCCTGGAACCGGTGCTAACCACGTAGTAAACGTGGGATTAGCCATCCTGTTACCATTAAACTTGCACTTCCCCATGGCACAAGCTCCCACTAGCTTAACCAGCTAATGTGCTCATCTAAAAATAGGCCCCTTTCTCTACCAACTGAATGTGTACGGTTCCGCTTATCCCAATATCATACACAAAAAAATGCTGAACACTAACTAGAAATTCAAGAACATTTTATAGAAATAAAATAATCGTGTTTATTGGATCTTTGGTCATTTAAGACCTTTGGAAACTGTATTTAAGGATTATTTGCCATTTTTAAGTATTTTTAAGGCCTTAAATTTGGAAAAGCAAATTTAAGACTTTTTAAGGACCCGCGGATACCCTGCAAAGAGCACAAACAATTTTGTCCACATTTGTATAATGCATTTCAAAGGAATAGCATTCAGAGTTGATGAAAAAAATGAGATAGAAGGAAAAAAATCTGCAAAAAGATTCCGAAAATAATATTAAAAAATATCAGGAATTTTGAATTAAAAAAAGACCTATATTAGTATTTACCTATTATTATTATTATTATTATTATTATTATTATTGTTATTATTATTATTATTATTATTGTTGTTGTTGTTGTTGTTGTTGTTGTTATTTTAAACTGTATTAAAACCCTTATTCTTCAATAATCATTTTAAAAAGTTATAAATCAATTAAAATCTTAGCTGTTCTTCCTCAGTATAAAAGTTAAAGGAAAACAACAACTGATAAGATTAATAAATTAAAAACAATGAATGACCAGTATTATAGATCTGGGTCATGTATTTTGTGGATTATTTATTTAGATGTCTAAATAACCCTTGTAGATTATGGATGAAGATTAAAGTTGGTACTTACAATAATGAGCAGTATAAAATATATAAAATTGTAGAAGGAGTGAGCATCCATGACATAGTACATAATGTCCACCCATCCTTCCAGCGTGATGACCTGGTGGGAGCAAAAACATTAATACAAATTTTTTAGAGACTCGTTCAACCAGTAGAACTGAAAAGCATCCCTTTGACATACACACCGAAAGACAAGCTGAAAAGTTTGTGCATGTGTGACTGCGCCAGGGACTCGCTGCAGCTCTTTCATGTAGCTCTTATGCTAATAAGAAATTCAGACTTGAAAGCAGTGACTCAGCTTGGGCCGACTAATATCACACTCGCACCTCAACTTTACACTATCAGCCAGAATAACACATTACAGCGTGAGCTGCAAAAGCACGTAACAATAGCACTAGTGCTGTTTCAAAGGGCTGATACGTGTGGATCCAGATAGAAATAAAAGCTTTTATTCCATAAATATACAATCTACAGAACAGCAAGTGCTAATTTTGTACACTTTTTTTTCAGACTTTACATTCTTTGCCAGTGTTTGCGTTTGTTCATTAGCAAAATATTTCATGGAAGGATTTCAATGAAGTTCCCAGGAATTGCAACAGCTAGCAGGTCACTTTTGTGTGGAGCAGCATCAAGCTCTAACAAAAGCCAAAATGACTATCAGAAAACATGTATGTGCATAGTTAACCAATAATCTAAATGTTAAGTTGACAAACAAAAAAAACACAACATTTCATGTGTTTTGATCATACAAACACACACTAACCCCAGTTTCACACTGGAAGCATCGGTGGCGCGAAACAGCAGCGGAATGGTTTTCTCACGAACTTCAAAGCGGATCTTTTCACACCTGGAAAGTCTTGGCAGTGGCATGGCTTCCTTGCTGTGCTCTTCGCTGGACTCGCGAGATGACACTATACCTCGAGACTTGAAGTCACGGTTTGTTTACGCAATCCGCCATTAAACCAAAAGGAAGGAAATCACGTATGATATCGCTGTTTGATGTCATATAAGATGTTGTTCCTCTCCATGGCCAAGAGTAAAGCCATGAAAAACACACCGCTGCACTTTTGGAACAATGGTGTGAGTAAATATGCCGCTAGGTCACACGTAAGCGTTATGTATATGAAAATGCATCACTGCAGTACTTTTATTTTGAAAATTACCAGGGATTTTACACTGAAACCATGTGTGATTTCCTATCTAGCCCTATGTTAACTGCGTAAATTGACGCATCCCAGAAAAGGCTCTTGGCAAAAATAGAACCCAATCCTATTTTAAGTGGCGTGGCGAGCTGCTTCTGGGACGCGCCTGGAAGTTACCGCGTCGCTGCTGGTTTTTAAACAGTCCATAGACTATAATGGACTCTATTTGAAGCCGTAACGTCCGCACCGCTGATGCTTTCAGTGTGAAACCAGGGTTATGCAGGCTGGCTGTGTGTGTGTATGTGTGTGTGTGTCTCCTTTCATCATAAGGTATGTAAGTTCCTTTGAAAAACAAGGCCACCCCTAGAAAATTGCCGGCCAGTGCCACCCTACAGCCCCCCTGGAACATTTCCTGAAGGCGCCACTGCTCACATAATAAGGCAACACCTCACAACAGTAAAAGTCCCAAAGTATCCTCAGGATAATTCCGTTTGGAAGCACAAATTCACTAAAACCATAAAACCAAATAAAATACTCACTTGTGGTTCAAATTACTACAACTCTTAGGAAAATATTAAGAATCACTCCATGCCTCTGCCCTTCTCTCTTCCTGTTCAATCTTTCAATTTGAAACTCTTTAAATGTTTGGGGAAGAGATTTGTGGCCAGAAAAACTGAAAGTAAACAGCAGCTACACAATAAACCTGAGGAAGGAATAAAAAAACGAATCCCACCTAAGAATCCAAGTCTCGTTTACTAAAGAAACTCAACAGGAGAAGTAAAAATGCAAACATCGGAATCTAGTCTTCAAAGCCTCGTGAGCTGAGACCACACACCAGAAGGTTCTGAGCCTGAGTACGGGTGTGTGTGTGTGTGTGTGTGGGTGTGTGTGGGTGTGTATGCTTGTGTTCAGGTTTGTGCTGTACTCTCAGAGAAAGTCAAAATGTCTTTCATACCTATCAGCCTTATGTAGGCAGGTTTATAGGATAGGGAGAAATTTAAATCTCAACCACAAAGACTGTGTTAGCGAACAGAGTTCGGTGTTGGATGAAGCTGCTGTTCCTGAGAAAGTGAAAATACCAGGTGGTGAAAAAGGAGTAAGAACAAGAAAAAACTAACTTAATACAAATCATATGTGGAGGGACGGTTCAGGCCTTTGTTCGAATAAATCTGTTATGTGAATTTACTCACTTGTTAAAAAACAGTTTGGAAAAATCACACGGATTAATATAAGCTAAAGCCTGATTTATAATTCTCCGTCAGCTCGAATGTGGAGTTATGTGATACATAAATGTATCATAGGCATTGATTTCATTTTCAGACTGGCAACAAAAGTATTATTTTTGCACTGAGTAACATTACTAAAGGGGCCCTTAATGTAAGGTGTTTCCAAAGATTTCATCAACATCAAAAACTGAGTGCAGTATAAAAATGAAAAAATAGAGTAGGCATAAACTGGTGAGAATTTTTTGTCGTTTTAAGAAAACATTGACTTACTTTGGGGCCTGCCACCCATGGTGTTAATTAGTCTGTTCTTAACTAAGCTCTGTGAGGTAATATAGAATATTTCTCTAGATATTAACAAGTAATGTGAAATTAACAGCTTTTAAGATTCACTAATTAGTGTTTTCATGAACTGCTTTACATATTTTGAGATTAGAGTTTTGATCTCGGCCTCATTGATTTATAGCAGTTAGCTAATTAATCTGGAAAGGGCAAAAAATATGTATTTTTTGTAGCTTTGTCTCAAATGTAAAACTTCAACATACCTAAATTATTGCTATAAATAATAAAAATAAGACTTAAAATATTTTTTCATTTGTCCCATCTCACCTGGAATATGGCTATCCAAGCATAGCCAATATTGTCAAAGTTGACAGCTCCCTTGTGTGGGTTGAGCTCCCCGGGGCGGCAGGTGTCATAGCACTGGTTCCAGTTGACACAGCCATTAATGCTGGCCCCTCCCACTCCAGGAGATTGTCCAATTATAGCAGAACTTGGGTGAGGAGGAGCCAATGAGCATTCTTTTCCATCCTCAGTGTAGTTTGGCACATTGTGACAGCGCAACATCCCGTTTTCGCGAGGAGCTGAGCAGATAAACGGGCTGTCTTCCCCTTCCTCAGACATGTAGTAAGGGTTCATGGACAGATTGTATATTCTAGATGGGGGGAAAAATAAAGAAAATGAAGCTGTTGTTACAATACAGTTGTGGATTCTGCTGTTTTATGTATTACTTCAATGAACCCTGACATCGTGTGGTATAGAAAAGTAAAAATCTGTCTGGGTAATAACTCTTATGTCCGTAGATTCTTCCCATATTGTTTAAAGGCTGTTTGATACGTTTTTCAATCAAAAGAGAAATTCTAGTAATAGAAATGTCATCAAAGGGCAAGATGAAAAAACATCACAGAGAACAGAGCATTCCACATGACAATGGTGTTGTTGGGCTGGACAGGGCCTCCTGAGTTTGTACCTTTGCATTTTTCCTTTTCGTGAACAGAGTCACGGTTTACAACTGAACACTACACAGGAACTGCAAAACCAGAAAAATATCATAGACAAGTAAGATATTTTTGGTGTGCAGGATTTAATATGACATCTTCTGTTTGACCTGTATTTATGTATTTTGGGTTTATTCTTGTTTAACCATTTATGAAAAGCTTTGAAATGCAAGAGCAAAAAGATTCTTGGATCAAACGAGGCCTTTCCTTTCTGAATTTTCTTCCCTTAACTCCATGGTTTTTCTCAAAGTGAAGCCAGTTCTTCACTGGGCTGCAGCCAACTGTTGGTGACAAATGAAGAATTACAGACAAAGAGATTCAGAAATATCTCGAAAGGTTTGCAAGGGTCCTCAATAGGAATGGCTGTTAAAAAGTGGGAAAACTAAATAAGTTTTTTTGTGGCCCAAATTAAAACTAAAATACAAAATAGACTAATTGTACAGTCCAACTTTCACTACCTGTAAACTGTTTCACTGTGATGATCATTTTAGATTGAATCATCTTTCTTCTTTGGTTATCAATTTGGAATTTTTGTTCTATCACAACATTTTTCTATTACCATATTTATGGGATAAAGCCGTCACTAGTGGCACATGTCTTTAGACGTGTTTCCACTGTGGGATTTCCATGAAACTTCTGGGAGAGAGAAAACTGGAGACGGCTCGGTCCACTTAGCCATTGTGCCTTCATACAAGTTCAGCCTTTTCAGGACGTTGCTAAGGCAACATGTCACCACTGCTTAGGCAGTGAGTGATGTCACTGATCAGCGGTGTCCAGTATCCTGTAATTTAAACATATCGGGGGATCGGGAGTGTGGCTGCGTAATGTAAAATGTGAACTTCAATGACCAGAAGAAATGTAATTTTTTACGGCGTTCTGTAGAAGACCAAACGCACCGTGAATGGCAGAGTTCATAAAAAGTGATTTTAACGCAGCGAAAATGCCTCTTGTATGTTTTTCCTTCCATTGTGAAATTTTTGGGCCGAAACCATTATCCGATATTCAGATCACAGTTATGGCTGATAACCGATATTTGCCAATACTGATGTACTGACAACAATGCTTCGAAAATCAGCAGATTTTGTATAGAATGAAAATTACTAAAGCTGAATTTACATTATTATGTACACACACGACACATTTACGGTTCTGAGATGATTTCATTCACTGTTCACTTTCCGGAGTATTTCTCTTATCCAATGGCACCACCTAGTGGCTGACAAGCATATCACACAAAACCGCTGTTCCTCTGTTTTTTTAAGATGGCGACTTCACGTTTCTGTTTATAAATGTGCTTCTGTAGCCGACAAACCGAGCTAAAACATGTTGTTTTACGAGTATTATTCCTATTGTGTTTTCATATATTTAAATTTTAGAGACTTTCTTGTCCGTGAAAATTTCATCAACTCTGCATCAGCTGAGGTATTCCTTAAATGTGAAGCATCTAAGCAGTAGTCTAACGCTATTGGTTAGTTCTGGTCTGCGCTCAGTTTCCTACTGCACTAAGCATGCCCCTCTGCCGGGCAGGGGGCATGCTTAGAAAAATAAATAAAAATGACGTATTGCTTACATTATATCACAGTACATGATAAGATAATCACTTTTCCGGATTTCTGGCAAATCATACATAATTTCTGAAAGAGGAAAACTCAGGAAAGCAGCTTTAATCGAACCGATATCGAAATGTTAAAAAATGACTAACATCGGCCAATACCGATATTGATGCCGATATATTGTCCATCCTTAATTGTTTTCTTTTATCTGATGGCACTATCTAGTGGCTGACAAGCATATCACACTGTGACCTACTTTCATTTCTATATTTATGGCCGAAAGCAACGCTTCTTGTTCATGAACGCGCTCCTCTAGCAGAACAAACAGAGTTAAAATACACTGTTTTACAATTATTATGCTCATGTTATGTTGTGTTTTCATTTATTTATATTTTATAGACTTATAGGTCACCAACTCTTCACCAACAGAGGCACGTCCTTAAAGAGTAACTAAACCCCAAAATAACATCCCGTTATATATGGGATCGGGTTCTATATATGCCACAAGCTGCTTCTGGGACACGTCAATTTCGGCAGTTAGCATAGGGCTAGACAGGAAATTAGTCACGGTATTAGTTTAAATGTCCGGCAATTTTCTAAATAAAAGACTGTTGCAGAGGTGCGATTTCTTATCAATGCGTTTCGCAACAGTCTTTTTCTTTTGTGGCTTTAATCCAAACCTTGGCAGCAGAGTAGCACACAGTGATCTCAAACGTGATGATTTAATGGCGGACAGCATAAACAAACCGTGACCTTTGAAGTGCTGAGTGATTTTGTGATTTCGTGAGTCCAGCGAAGAGGACGCAGAGATGCAGCTCCACAGCTGAGGCCCCTACTGGTGTGGACTGAAGTGCGACGAAGCCCGCGAGTAAGCCGTTACGTGACCCAGCGTCACAACCAAACAGCATCAGTTACCCACAAGTTCTGCTCAGTGGCTCTACCGAGCCATGCTGAGTACATATCCCAGTTCAAGTAATCCATTGGTTCCTGAAACAGCCCGGAAAATGGAGACATGCTGCAAAGGTCTGGTGAAATTACCAGAAGTTACGATAGTGGAGACAGGCCTAAAATTTGTGATTTCCTGTTGTTAAAGACCCAATATTTCATTTTCTTATACTGATTTCTTATGGGATCACTCAATTTCTCTGCAATCATATGAGGGGTCCACACAATCAAGAGAAATGAATGAACATTCTTTTGTTAAGCTCAATAAAACAAAACATCTTTTTCATGTACTCAAAATGTCCAAATAGTGCTTTTGCTTCACTCAACACGAAACACTTTCCTTTGTGAAGAAATCGGATTTAAAACAAAGCTGCTACATCCAAACTTGAGCCAATCCTGTCGTGGTTTTCACTGTGATGGAGGTAGTTAGCCTTACTCCTGTCTGTCTGTTGCTGATGAAAATTAGAAATGGTTTTAATATTCGACAGACTTTGACATATCAAGCTATAACCTTAGCGTCAGGAATAAGTGTTCCTTGTGAAACGGCGACTGAAAGGTGTCTAATGGAGGAGTGCGAGTTATTTGATGCATTGATAAGTAAGAGCAACTTCATCTCTTAATGGGATTTTCTGTTTTCTGTTCCCTCTCATACAGAAAAAGATTCAGATGGATTAACTGTGGAACAATTGGTACCATTACATCGAAAGCATAATAAATTCAAGAGTCTCAAAGTGACATTATTGGCTTGCTGAGGTCATGGGCACAGATATTTTTGTTTCTGTTCGCTTGTACATTATCTTTCCCCTTGGCCAAATAGGCAACTGAGCTTTTTTCTGTCTACTTGAATGTTGTTGTGCCTTTTTGCTTTTGTTTGCTTAGTTTAAAAGGAGAAATGTTCCTCTGCTGCTAGTATTTAATGTTGTTACATCATAAAGATGAGAAATTAGTTTGCTTACTGCTGTGATAAAATGATTTTTAGGGATGAGTCTATATATCTTTAATTTGTTTTTTCCCTGTTCCTATCCCACCATTTCCTCTATTATTATTGGTTGTGACCTGGTCCTGCGAGGTCACAGAATCACGGGAGAATTGCTACACTACGCGTGATTTCGGAGTGACAAGCAAGAAGTAAGACTATTCATCAAAAACCCTCAGCTACAAAGGTTTCACAGGTAATGACGTACTTTATTTTCCCACCGGATAAGGGACTGGAAATTTACGTGGGACTTTTATTTTGAAACTTTCTGAATGTTTTACGTTGCTTTCATGTTTAGCCCTTTTTACAAGACACACCAGGATGGCAAATCAGCATAATGGTTCTGCAATGATGTCTTATAAACGCGCCATGCCAGCATGGCAATGCACGAGTTTTGCGGCATTTGTTCCTCCTCGCTCGGTAGTGAAATTTCGGTAATTGTCTGTCTTATAAACAGCGATTGCGCCTTGCTGCAATAGAGGGAGGTGTCATGATCACGTGGGGACTGCCGAGCTCCGACAGACAACTATAATAACAATGAAAGTAAAAACGGGCCGTAAGTTTCCAGAACCAGCTGAAATGTTAAACTGAAGCGATGCAGCGCTCCTGGAGCTTCTTTCCTTTAGAGCTGGTGCTCAGATCACCAGAGACTGCACTGGGACTGTGGACGATAGACCCCTTTAGGAGGGGCTTGTCAAAAAAAAAAAACTTAAAGACTATCTAAACCCCAAAATAACTATTTATTTTTATTTTTTGCTAATTAACTGTATAACTGGGTCTTTACAATTCCAATCCTTCTGTTTCTGTGCATTTTTGACACATTTGTGTAAACTTGATTAAATCTAGAATCTAGGTCTTAAAACGTCTTAGTGCTGCCCCCTGTGGCAGAACAGCGGCTACTGCATTTTAAACTTGTGATTGACTGGGGATGGAACAATTTCCCGTCATCGGTACAGTCTCCTCCCACTCCCCCTCCCTCACAGGATGGAAATTCCCCACACTTGGCCATGCCACTCCCTGCCCCCTGGCAACACCCACTTTCATAGCATTTTTCAAATCTTGACTAGGGGTGGAGTTACATTTTATGATGGTGTGCAGTCCCTCTTTAACAATTGCCGCTTCTATCGCAATAAAAAGCAAGTTATGTCCAAGATAAACGGAAGTTTGTGGCAGTGCTGTCCCCAGACCCCCTTTATTCCGCTACCACGTATTGTTTTGTAAAAAGGACACGACTGTGCAACATTACCACCATGGTCTGACCACTCATAAACAACCTAAGGCTCCCTGATGCCGCCACAAATTGTTGTGGCAAATTGACAACATTGTTTTGTAAAAACAACTTTTGACTTCTGGTCTGGACTGATTTGAATTGCAAAGTTAGATGTGTTCCGTAAACGTAGCGCATAAGACTCAAAACTTAAGCAACGTGTTCTTATGCTTCTGGGGCGCATCCAAAACATGACACTTCACAGCAAGCGGAAGGAAACCCGTCCACTCTAACGGTGGCTAAATGTCGCAAAGTACGTTTCGCCACACTTTTAGAACCAGGAGGAAAGGAGGGGTACAAGTCAGATATTCATACGTACAATGACTGGCCCAACTCATTTTGATAAGCCTGGATTTCTTACGTTCTTATGTCTTCCCCAAGGAAGCAGCGGTTCCGCAGAAGTCCCGCCCACAGCTGCACCCCCACAATGCCAAAGATGAAAAAGACAAAGAAGCAGAGGAGGAGAACATTTCCCAGCATGGGCAGGGTATCCAGGAGCAGCGTCACCAGGATCCTCATACCTACACAGTGGGACAAAAACGCAAGAGAAGATAAATCAGTTACTCAGACTGGCTAACATCCAGAAGTTCAGCTGGTTTTGCACGTGGTGCAGCAAGAAGCCCCTGTGGATACCCGACCCACTGTCTAGAAAGTGTGGGAACTAGCATCATTCTTGGAGTCAATATTATCACAAGTGGCAATGGTGAAAGTGACAGACATGACTTCATCATCTGGGGATTTGAACTCACAGCTTCCTTGTGGTCAGTATTATCTAACCATACAGAATAAATGTCCAAATGTCAGATATGGTCAGCATCAACTGAGTGGCTAAACTCAACAAAAGCACAAAGTCTTACATCATCACCTAATTATATAGATTACATTTATATTACACCACAATGTAATTTTTACAGCTGCAGGAAGGTTGCTCATGTTAAAGCTGTTTGTGCTCTGCTGTTGCAGGAGAAACATCTGCATGGCTCTGGTAATGTCTGTGTTAATACCTTGGAAAACATCTTTTTACTTCTAATAATGGGTCTAAACCGGTCTAAACGGCTCCTAGCTTACCAGAGTTCTACACATCGGACACTGATTTGTAAGAGCCCATGCTGTGGTGCAAATCACCAAATTTATGGAATGAAACTACGGTTAAAGATTCCCTTACTTTTTACTTTTCTGTCACACTTAAATGTTTTAGATCTTTGGCAGAAAATGAGTCTCTGATGAAGACAACCTCAGCAAATGCATCATTTATTTTACTATGATGATTTTATTAATTAAAGAGGACAGGTTATGACTTTTTAAAGTTATAATATGTCTATAATCGATTCAAAGCACATTCACGAGTTCTTAGAACAAAATGTTCCAGTGATCTTAGTAACTTTTCAGTACCTTCCAGAATGAGCCATTGCAGGGCTTTGTCAAAGAAAACAAGCTGTTGCTGGACACGCCCACCCTTTTCCTGATAATGGGTGGAGCTCAGATTTCAGGGAGGGGCTTGGAGTAGAGTCTTTGCTCATCCAGCTTTCGCAGGTGTGGTCTATGCTAGCTTTCATTATCGTAAAGTCACAATAAGAGAGGTTTTCAAATAACTTGTTTTAAGCATAATCCCTGAAACCCAATATTGACAGAAAATGGATGGATGTTTTTATTTAGCTTAGAGTGCTTAAAGGCACACACATTATGAGTAACCTGCTTTAGATCAAATTGTCTTTCAGGATTTCCCCTATTGAGCAGAATTCATGGTTCCATCAGCTATAGCAAATGCTCCAGGTCTAAAAGCAGCAAAGCAGCCCCAGACCATCACACTACCACCACTGTGTTTGACTACTGTATTTTCTCAGAAGAGCCGTTTAAAATTTCCACAAAATATAATGGAACACTCACCTTCCAGAAATGTTGACTTTTTATCTCACTAGTTCACAGACTCATTTGTTAAATGTATTATAAATCACCAAGATGTTTAGGCCCAGGAACTCTCCCATGGTGGCCATTTTAATTATGTTTGTTTGTTTGCTCTGGCATTTCTTTAGAAAATTATATGGTTTTGAGATCTTTTAGCATCACTAATGTTCTAAGCATAAATTAAAAACTGCCTTTTACAATCATTCTGCTTTTTTTTTGGTCTGAGAGTAAAATTTGCTTGTCGATTTGTAACATTTAGGCATGACAAAGAAGCAGGAATAAGAGTAATGTGTAAGTGGGCAAACGCTTTCACAGCACAGTGTGAGCCAGACGTTTCTGAGCATTATTTGCTGATGACATTGTTGTCTTTGCTCACAGCTTGTGATCTAGTTTAAGAGGTTTTCGTTCTTTTTTTGTCTGAACCAACCAAGTGACAAAACAGAAAAAATCAAAGCGCAATAGCTGAGTCTAAACAAAAAATAATTTGTTTTTAGAGTCTGCACACAGCTCTGAAAAACTCTGATGACTTATTCAAGCAACCACTAGATGTGTGCATGAGTGGTGTGCACACACACCCTCACACACTGTACAAACATAACAACATAACTGCAAATTATCCACGGTTTGCTGATAATTCACAGAAGCCCCCTGCAAGCTGAGGCCCTGTTACAATGAAATAAACAGAGCACTGCTCGCTGTATCTAAGCTACAGAACAAAAACACGCTTAACAACGGTGCAACAACTCTCATCTGCACCCAGACAGAACTGCAAACAAAGAGATGGAGAACAGCTTAGGGGAAAAAAGTCTAGATTTTAGAAGAGCTTCGCATCCACAGACACTCAATTTCTGATCTTATGTAGGATAAAAACAAACCTGATTTTTAGGAGGTAAAGTGGTGTTGAACCCCCTCAAGGGGTCTGTCCACCTGTGCGGCTGTGAATGTGAGCTATGCGCTTTGTTTGCCCTAGTTCTCTACAATAACCTTGACTTTTCCAGCCTAAAATAATTACTGTCACCCTCGCTGCGATTCTCCCTTGCGTCCTGCAGGTTCACCTTCAGGAGGCATCTACAACAAGTCATCTTTGTTTATTGCCAAAGCAAAGATTCATAATCCTCTGGACTAAAATATAAACTCATCATCAAAGTTTTGTACAAATTAGCTTTAGTTACCATTAGCAGAAACAAGCAGCTTGCTAACAGTTTGTTATGACACCATGGCCTATAATGTCTCCTTAGCAGGTGATCTATTGCCGCTTTTGTCACAGAGTTTTTAAGAAAGTGACAAATCATCAGCAAGTTCTAGTGAGCTAAATAAAACAAGCAGCAACTCCTCTGGGTCATTTTTCAACTCACCTCGCCACGGTGGAGACACGGAAACCAAAACATGGTCCTGCACCGTATTAAGTCACCAAACTAAGGCTGGCAGAAGCACACAGGACCATGTGATGGTAAAAAGAAACTTAATATAAGGTGCTGACTATAACAGTGTTCAAAACAGATTCAGCAGAGGTGGAGCAAGGGATTATTTAACACAGGGGCAAGAGGTTTTGGGGGTCTAAGGGGGCCCTTGGTAAAATCCAATTCAATGTCTGTTGGTAACATAAAAGAGCATTTGCACTATTTCTCAGAACATTTTGAATGATGGATGACAATAACTGGCATTTTACAGAAAAATATAAACATTTATACAAAACGTAACTATGTATGCCGAGTCTGTCTGTTTTTAGTAGTCTATTCAAGTGGTGTCTTGAAGAATCACAATATTTAGGATGTTTCCAGCACATCCCATTTTAATAAATGGATGCTCAAAAGGCCTTCTGAGAATATGTGGCCATACTTTAACCGCCAGGTGTGTTTGTGAAGAGAAACAGTAAAAATGTGTACAGAATCGTGGACCACCAGGACCAGGATTGGTTGTGTAAAACGACCATGGCTGTGATTTTACGATAAAATAAAGTCAACAGAAATTTAAGGAATTCTTATTAACAATCTGTTTACTTAAAAAGCCGTACTTACTTGGTACTCTGTTGATGGCCCGCAGCGGCCGAAGTACCCGAACAGTGCGGATGGCTGACAGGCTGGCGTTGTGGCCATCCAGAGAATACTCCATCACCCTGAAGAAAATGTTGGCATGAAACTTGATACACTGCACTTCTTAATGTAATTAAGTATGCAGCTCCAAATACACATCTGATTCTGGATGGTCTTAATGTGTAATATCACCAAAAGAGTTAAATGTTATATATATGTAATGTATGGACATCTAACCCATTCCCAGCTACGGAAATACTCAATTAGCTATGCAAATTTCTGCTTGGATACAAACTTCCGGCTGAGGGTTAAAGAACACACTTTCTCACTTTAGCCGCCTAGTTGAAGAGGCACAATTGTAAAATACACAAGATAATACTTTTTCTTATGTAAAAACTGCAGATATGTTTTATGCAAATGTTCCAGAGGCATTTACTCTTCAGTGGGGATGCACCACTTTTTTCCTAACTACAGATACTTGGATCGGAGTACTCGCTGATACGATTACCGATACTTCTACCACACAAAAAAAAATGCAATGAATTGGAATACAGGCTCTCTTCACCCAAGTGTCCAAGCCTTGGGCTGGTGGAAAGCGTTATATAAATGAGATCAGATGAGATGACAAAGTTGATCATCGAGCTGCAGCCTAAGGTATCCTGGTGCCAAGAACACATATGGACACCTTTATGCCCGAACATGATGTTCATTAGGGACAATCTATGACGAGCACAGAAGTCCAATAACAAAACACAGCTCAAATTCAGATTGGGAGGGGGGGGGGGGGGCGTTCTGCCCCACCACACCTCTCCAGGTCTCACTGTTGTTGCCCACATGAGCGTTAAGGTCCCCCAGCAGAACGAGGGAGTCATCGGAAGGAGCGCTCTCCAGCACCCCTGTTAAGCTCCACACTAGTTCTACTCCAAAGGGCTACTCAGGGACAACTCGGGCGACGGTGGCACAGAAGTTAAGTGCTCGCCCCGTAATCGTAAGGTTGCAGGTTCGAGTCCCGCTCAGTCTGTCGCTGCCGTTGTGTCCTTGGGCGAGACACTTAACCCACCTTGCCTGCTGGTGGTGGTCGGAGGGACCAGTGGCCCTCGGCAGCCTCGCCTCTGTCAGTGCGCCCCAGGGCAGCTGTGGCTACATCGTAGCTCATCCCCACCAGTGTGTGAATGTGTGTGTGAATGGGTAAATGACTGATTGTGTTGTAAAGTGGCTTGAGGGGTTCCAGGACTCTAGAAGGCGCTATATCAAATACAGGCCATTTACCATTTACCATAACTCTTGATTTTGCTTTTTATCAACTTATTTTTCAACTCTGAGATTTGTTGGTTTCAAGTTGATCAATGCATGATTTCATCAGGTTGATAACTCTGACACTCAAACAGGAGACTCTCCAGTTTCAACTTAAACACTTCACTAACATAAACCAGAAATATTTACCAACCATTGGCGTCTTTAGAGTAAAGTTCATGAGTAGAGCTTGCTGTGCTGTTCCTGTTTGACTGAGGAATGAGAGACACCATCCTGCATAGGTGTTTTTTTTATTATCAGCAACCAGTCAGTCACCTTTTTGTTGGTGCATTCTAGGAGATGTAGTTCTCAGTGGTGGTGGACCAATTAGACCTCCATTTACTCAGCTTTAACCCAACAACCCCATCCAAGGACTCCAAAAAGGGTGGGTAGTCTGAGCTGCAGTTAGGTGCATAAGCACAGACAACTGTCAGCAACCGCCCCCCCACATGCAGGCAGAGGGAGGCTACCCTCTCGTTAACCGGGGTAAACCCCAACGTGATTGCAATTCACGCTCATTTTATCATTTTATTTTCTCAAGAAAATCACAACTTAGTAGTGCAATGATGATGTTTAAAGACAAATGTCATTTAATCGTTTTGGTGTCAGACAAATAAAGTTTTTTATTCTACTCTAGCGCAGAGTGCTAACCCTTCCTGCAGTTGTCTTGCACTTCTCACACTGTTGTACTAAACATGGTTGCAGGCAGGCTCCTGACACCGTGCCAACACAGGAGCGAGACACTATGAGTCATGGGGAATTTTAGAAACTCCAAAAAACCTGAAACGGACTAAAGCCTACTGCACACTGGAAGCATCAGCGGCACGGAACAGCCGCACTGCTTCAAATACAATCCATTATAGTCTATGGGGGTGATTCAAATCAGCCGTGACACGGAAATTTTCAGACATGTCCCAGAAGTGACTCGCCGTGCCGCTAAAGATAGGATCAAGATCTGTTTTTGTCACGAGCAGCTTCTGGGACACGACAATATCCGCAGTTAACATAGGGCTAGAGAGGAAATCACACACAGTTTCAGTGTAAAAACCCTGGTCATTTTCAAAATAAAAGTCTATTGCAGCGGTGCTATTTCATATCTATGTAGACTACGTCTACACAAGTGACCTAACGGCTTATTTACTCCCTGCATAGTTCCAGAAGGGCAGCGATGTGTTTTCGTGGCTTTAATTGCATAAATTCAAGGGATTTTGTGATCTCGCGAGTTAAGCGAGGATGATGGCGGAGAAGCCACTTTGCTGCTGATACTCTCCCGGTGAGGCTGCGCAGAGGCGCAGTGGTTAGAGCTGTTGCCTTGCAGCAAGAAAGTCCTGGGTTCGCTTCCTGGCCTGGGATCATTCTGCATGGAGTTGGCATGTTCTCTCTGTGCATGCGTGGGTTCTCTCCGGGTACTCCGGCTTCCTCCCACAGTCCAAAAACATGACTGTTAGGTTGATTGGTCTGTCTAAATTGTCCTTAGGTGTCAGTGTGTGTGTGTGTGTGTGTGTGTGTGTGTGTGTGTGTGTGTGTGTGTGTGTGTGTGTGTGTGTGTGTGTGTGTGTGTGTGTGTGTGTGCATGATTGTTTGTCCTGTGTGTCTCTGTGTCCTGTGTGTACCCCGCTTGATTGCCCATTGACCCCCCCACCCCCCACCCCCACCCACCCCCCCCACTCCCCGCAACCCCACGTGGACAAGCGGGTTCAGAAAATGGATGTTCACTGGAGAGCAGCGATTGTTGTGAGTAAACCTTTCTGCTGCCGGTGAAAGGTTCTCAGTCGCCCAGGTCATGATAATCCAAAAGGGTTCAAATGAAGGCAACTGGACTTCTTTGGTTTCTTAAAGACTTTTTGCTTCTCATCCAACGTCTTCAAGAAACCGCACCACTGATGCTTCTAGTGTGCAGTAGGGGTAAGGGCAAAGTTTCAGTGGGACAAGAAACTTATGATTTCCTGTCTTTCTCATGTCTTACTGTTATTTTAGCAGACAATCCTAAATGAAATATCTGTAGGGATAAAAGTTGTAAATGGTATACCAACCCTGCCATTACGATGACAAAGTCAAGCTGGTTCCATTTATCTCCGAGGTAACAATTGGGGCCGAAAATACCAAGGGCCACCATCTTGATGACCATTTCTACAGCGAAAAAAGTGAAGATGCAGTCGTCCAACACCTGGTAGCACAAGAAAAATAAAAACACAAAGAGGGTTAACAATAATAACAATCAGGACACGCCCTTGTTGGATCCCTCCGGGCAGAAACACGCTAACAAATAAATTAATGAAAAAGCCGTGTGTGGAGGGGAAAACAATCGTGTGTATGTTTGTTGGTTAAACTCCAGCTGGGAGCACTTCAGGCTCATCGCAGTCATGGCTGTGTCTCACTTAATTAGACGTTTTTCACAGCAAGAAGAACGTCTGTGTTTGAGTAGAACGAGCACATCTCGGAGCGCATGTTCACGAAGAGTCAGGAAGCAAACAGAAGAGAGGAAATTCACTTTAAGTTTCTGTTCATCCAGGATTTACAACAGCAGGGCAGCATGTTTCTAATCTGATCATGACCAGTTTGAGTAACTCAATGTGTTTAAAGACAACACGTTCCTGCATGCTGTGTTCCACCACATGCTGATAAGATTGCTGCTTTTTGCTGCTTGAATGTACAAGGTGAACACGGCGTGTTTTCACAGAGAGAAATCAAATGCATCATGTCATGAAAAATGCCCCTGTGTGTCCTCGCGAGCCCAGTTCGTGTCGCGCTCACCTGTAAGATGCGGCACCACTCTGACAGGCAGGTGACGTCCTCACAGGGCTGAAACATCCCCAGGGTCACGCAGTTCAGCAGAATCACAAGCATGGACACGTGCTCGAACCACGTGCACGAGGAAGTTAAGGTCAAAACAAACATTTTTATATCACAAGCGTAAACAAGCAGGAAAACTTTTTCATACGCCCTGCCCACAAAAAGCATTGATTCATGTATCTGATATGTTCTAGCAGAGAGTTAACAATCAGACCATCAGTACAGTGGAAACGGACCCCGATCGGAAGATCTGAGTGAGTCTACTGAGTGTAATAATGACAAAGAGCTGCTAATTTAATCACAAGCCTTTTAACAAAGTCACAAATTAACATTTCGATGAGTTGATGTCTGCCGCACATCTCATCACTGTGAGCTGACCAGTGGCAGTCTAGAGGGAAAACCTGAACATCACATTGTAACTAGACAATAAATAATCCGTATCAGATCAATTAGTGTCAGAGTCGGAAGTAGACCAACTGACCGGTCAGAAGGCTGATTACTGACATCTGCATCAGTCAAACTTGGACATGTTAAGCAGTGATATGGTTCCCTGCTGATGAGGGAATTTTATTATCATAAAAGTTTTCTAAACGGGACCACGGACCTGGGATTGGTCCACCACGACTGGCACCTTAGTCTACTATCCACCAACGACTCGGGACTCTTCCTGCAGGTGGTGGATCCACACGAGGATAAACCCATGTAGTTTAGCCTGCAACAGCCTTTCTAGCAAGCCTTCAATCAAATGTGGTACAGGCAGTGATGGAACACAACCAAGTACAAGTACTTCATTACTGTACTTATATACAATTCTTCTGTATCTGTACGTCACATGAGTACTTTTTTTAGGCCTACTTTCTACTCCACTTATTTTTCTAAAAAGTTTCTAAAGTAAAAGTACTGTAATTAGCATCTTGTCTAACCTTCACCCCACCCCCGGTATGATGGAAACTGGCAGCACACTCTCTTTTCCACGCTGAACTTTGGTAGGGTACTTTAATTTGTGTTTTGGCCCCTCCCCCTCGGTCCGATGACACACTTCCACAAACACAACGCATATTTAAATGTTAATTGAATACTTTGTTGTGACGCACCGATATGAAATATTTGGGCCGATATTGATATCCGATATTGACATCACTGTTATTGCCAAGAACGATATTTGCCGATGCCGATATTCTGACATTAATGTTTCTAAAATTAGCAGCTTTTGTATAGAATGTAAATTATTAAAGCTGAATTTGTTATTATGAACACACCACAAATTTACGGTTCTGAGATGATTTAATTCACCGTTCACATGACTAAACAATCACACATCACCCCCCTCACCCTCTGAAACATAAACAAATGGAGACAAGAGGGAAAAAATACCGGTTGTTAATATCGGCTCGGTTTTATTTATCGAACCGATACCGATATGTTAAAAAATGACTAACACTGGCCGATTCCGATAGTGATGCAGATATATTGTCCATCCCTAATGCTTTATAACTTTTAAGTACAATTGAAAATGCAAACTTTAATACTTTTACTTAAGTCAAACATTTCTTGCATACTTCCACTTAATTAATGATTTTACCCCTTCATCTGTACTTATACTTAAAGACCAGGTTCACTGAGAAACTGTTTTTACTTGTTATTTTTTAATGTGATTGGTCACTCTGAGTTTAACATGCACGCTAAATGTGAAAATGACCTTCTACCCCTATTTCCTGCATTAGCTGCTGACAGAAGGCAGACACTCAGACTAGAAAATCCTGTGACAGCACATAGAGTCATCAAATGAACATTCATGGACTCTTGTCTTGTGACGCCTTTTCAATTTGAATCATGATTTTAGATGAAGGTGTAGCAGTAAATTGTTGGCTCAATTTTAAACTTTTTACATTGATTCCAGTGTGTTTATTTTTTTAATTATTCGGCTGTGTTTCTCTGTAACTGTGAATGTTGTGAAATGTTTAGTGGTGTGAAAGTTAAAAAACAATTGCATGAACTGTGAAAAAAAAAACAATACAACAATAATTAACTATTTACTACCTTCTGAAAGACACACACTTCAAAAGAACGTAAAGGTTGATTATGGAACACGAACACCAAAGCGACATCTAGTGTGTGGAGGTTGTAATTGCTACAACAGAACAAGGTTTCCAGCCGTCAGGATACCAGGTCCGTTGCCGATACGTGAATTTTTTTATTTGGGTCCATCTGTTGTAGGCTTCACCTACATTCCCTCTGGTTTTTGATCTTTTATGGTTGACTTACTGCTTGACTTGCCAAATCCGCCGTTTTCCACACTGCCAGCCTCGCTGAGCTGAGCAGATGTTTTGGCAAACCGCAGTGGTGCCCTCTATTGGCTGGTAGATGTAAACACAACCCCAGTGTTGTGCCCATCAAAATAAAAATTTCTAAATTAAAATATAGCTTTTAAAGGAAACAATGTACCTTCATCATGCACACCTCTAAACGCCCCGCGCAGGTAGTAATTTTTAAAAACATAGCTTTTTATGAAATTGTGGTATGCCGTACAGTGTTGTTGCAGAAAACCTTTAGTCTTGCCGGAGAAGAAGAGGCAGCTTAAATTAAAGGGTACAAATGTCAGATGTCTCCTTTGACTTGACTAGAAAAGCACTCCTGAGTAATCTCATGAGGATTACCTTCTACTTGTTTAATCCACCTTTTATCCTTTTTGGGCGAGCAGTGAGATTATCTAAATAGGACGAGTTAGAAAGAGTACAAGCTTTGTTCTATCATTGCTTTACTTTGTTAAAATAATCCCTAAAGGATCAGTGTCTTCAGCTCACTGATGTCTTATCTCGTTAGGAACTACACCAGAAAGAAAACACTTTCCTTTGATGCTGTTTAAATGCTTCAACGTTTGGCAACTTAAATGGGCACTTATGGTAAATAACAAGTGTAAAAATGGCTTTCCAGTTTTAAGTCATGTCATAGGTCTTTTGGTCTTAATCAAAACAGGCCCAGCCCCCTTGGTAATGTGCAGTGCATTACTGCAACATGGAATACTTATTATGAGAACAAACATGGAGAAAATCAGAGTGCATTAGTCACAGCCTCCTAATCCCTGCTAGTAGCACAGACATCACGATGCAGTGTGATCTAATATGACAAATCAAATAACACACGCACACAAGAAAAGCCCATAATATAAGCATTACAGATTACAGTCCTTCTGAAGCAGCTCTAATTTAAGAATATGTCGTGATTACAATGAAGGGGAAAAATAATAATCCACAGCAAGCAAATCAGAAGAGAAGAGGAGTGGGAGACAGAGAGTGAAATGGATGGTTGAGTAGAGGAAATGAGGGGAAAATGACAAGAGCATAACTGCTTTTGAATCTTGTGTCCCCCATGAAAAAAACCACCACAGACAACTTTCATTTGGCTTTTGTCCCAAATACACGTCTTTTACTCCTACTCACTTGTATCTCCATACATTTCCTCTCTGACTGACTTCTGACATAGATGAACTAGCTCAAATTCCAGAAACATGTTTTACAGCCTAGTACAAAAAACATTTTAGTACATTTTAGTTTAATAGTTCAAGTTTACAGTTATGACAACTCTGTGCACAACTCGTGCATCACATTAGTCGCTCAACTGCGTTTTTCTGTCTAAAAGGGCCCGCAAACCCGTTCTGGTTAGCTGTTAGCGCATAGCTAAATGGGCTAAGAGTTGGATGGCAGTCTGCACCCACCCTCAGAGTGCCACTCTTTGCCCATTTTTGTATTATCCAGAAGTGACGAGATGTGTGACACAGTCAAGATGGCGGTGGGCTTTAATTCAGAAACCTTCAGGTGATGGGGCAGAGGTTGTCCATCTCATGTACTGACATATTTAAAGGAAATGTTGCATGACTGTGGTCAATACTGTTTTAGGATTGGAGCACAAGCACAACTTGATCATTTCTCAGCATAGGATTATCCTAGTTAATTTATTATCCTAGTTAATTTATTTGGTATGACGTACAGCGGGAAATATAGTAAATAGGCAAGTAAAATGTTTTTCCCAGAGAAAAAATGTATTTCAATTAAATTCTGTTTATTTATATAGAGCCAAATCAGGACAAGAGTCGTCTCAAGACACTTCATTAAGCCAGTCAGTAAAACGTTTCCTATATAAGGAACCGAGCAGGTTGCATCGAGTCACTGACTAGTGTCAGAGTCTTTACAGCAATCCTCATACTAAGCAAGCATGCAGCAACAGTGGAGAGGAAAACTCCTTTTTAACAGGAAGAAACCTTCAGAGGATCCTGGCTCATTATAAGCAGCCATCCACCATGACTCACTGGGGATGGAGAAGACAGAGCAAACACACACACACACACACACACACACACACACACACACACACACACACACACACACACACACACACACACACACACACACACACACACACACACACACACACACACACACACACACACACACACACACACAACATAAATAGGGAGCCCAAGTCTCCTCCCTCTCGGGTCGGCTCATGGGTCCCTGGAAGAACAAAAAATTAATGCAAGACAACGGTGCTCAAAGAGCTGTTTCCTAATCTGCTTTGCCTTATGCCCTGGATCGCATATATGTAGTACTTCAATTTAAATGAAATTTAATGAAGTGTGTTCGACAACACCAGCCACATAGTTTGAAATTCATCAGCTTGTAAATGTTTCTAATTAGCATGACGTCGGCACGTCACATATATGACGTCACCACAGAATCTCCTCTCTAGCGTAGCTGCTACTTACCACATAGCCAGATTTGGTGATTCTTTCCTCCTGAAGGAAGAATTTGAAGTTCAATGAACTTACAGCCATTTTCCCTCTGTTTTTCTCCGTGTCTGATTCGATGACGTCAGTTTGGTGATGCGCATTTGTAGTTCCGGACATATTTTCACACAAAAAATAAAATGAAGTTTGCCCCATTTGAAAATAAATGCGTTCTTGGCATCAAAATGCGTCAAATTCAAGGACATCACATTTGAAATCCATGGCACATAAATGTAATGTGATGGAAGTGGTGACTTTTACTGAATTATCAATAAGATGTGATATTCCATATAAATATGAATTATCAATCTTATTGTTCTTTGAATATTTGATTTAATGTGAACTTAGGTTCTTTGGACTGCCTGGGAAACATACACTTTATAATAATTCAGACCGAGTTTAGAATAGAGTTTATAAAAATGAATTTATACTATTTTTTAAACTAATGATGACACAGAACAACTTATGATGAATGATGGTTGAAACAAGATAACTGAGACAATGAATGAAATGAATGTTATGTAGCAAAACCTAATTAAGTATCAGAGAAATTTGTGATGTCTGGATTGTAAAACCAGTCTGGCTGTATGGTTTAACAAACAGTTAATGTGAAGAACCATCAGACGCCATTGTGCCGAGTGTATGAACCCTTGTTGAAGGTCCTGAGGCGATCCAGGAGGTCAGAGAGGTCGGTATGGATAGACTGCCGGTGGCGTTGATCTCTGACGTAATGGGGCCCGTAGCTCTGCCTCAAAAACGGACCCATTGGGTCTGAGATACCTTCCAGGTGACGGCAGGAAGCTGGCGTAGCTATTTTGCATCTGATACAGCTTGCAAAGCAAGGCTTTGACCATGGGGTCAAAAGAGAGGATGGTTCCTTGTGCTCTGCTTACCCAGTTGGCCGAACCGGGAAGGCTTGCTAGAACTGGCTTGTTCGGGGCGTGAACTAGCTTTTATTAAGTATTGTTTACCAATTTGGACTATTCATAATTTGACAAGTTAAAGTGGGCATTATCAAAATGTGTCAGACGCCACTCCTTTCTCTAAAGTAAGTAAGTAAATTTTAGAAGTGCTTCACATTGATCAAAACAAAATTAAACATTTTAATATCAGAAAAGAAAAAAATGTTAAACAAATGAAAGATGATTACAAATTTGAGTTAAAAAAAGAAAATCAAAGATTTAGGTAAAAGTAGCTTTAAATGGGCTGAATAGTGGCACAGTGGTTAGCACTGTTGCCTCGCAGCACGACGGTCGCAGGTTCGAAACTCGGCTGCAGCCTTTCTGCGTGGAGTTGCGTGTTCTCCCCATGCATGCGTGGGTTTCCTCCGGGTTCTCCGGTTTCCCCCACAGATCACAACATGCTCTACAGGTTTGAAATTGTAAGTCGCTTTGGATAAAAGCGTCTGCTAAGTGAATAAACATAAACATAAATAAAAGGGTCTTTAGCTGTTTTTTAAAAGTGTCCAGACTGTCAATGCTGCGTGAGGATAAAGGAAGATCATTCCGAAGTCGGGCCGCAACAGTCTGGAAGGAGCGATCACCTTGACTTTTGTATCTGGCTTTTTGGAACTTCTAGAAGGTTCTGGTGTGTGGATCTGAGGGCTCAGGTTGGAGCATAAGGCTTTAACAGTTCAGTAATATGGGGAGGAGCTTGACCATGTAGAGCATTGAAAGTTATAATCAGGATTCTAAAATGAACTCTAAAGTTAACGGGTAACCAGTGCAGAGGCATCAGAATAGGAGTGATGTGTGCTCTTCTGTTTGCTCCAGTTTGAAGCCTCACTGCAGAGTTCTGGACCAACTGAAGGCGTTCGAGGGCTTTTTTGTTAAAACATGTGAAGAGTGTGTTACAGTAATCTAGACGGGAGGGGATAAAGACATGGAGAACCACTTCAAGTTTTGACACCAACCTTAGAGTCTAAACACTTAGAGAAGTTATTCACCTAATGTGGAGTAAATCATATTAAACATTAATGTACAGTGAATATGTTAAAGATTCATAATAATACTGTTAATGTGTGAATGTAATGATAGATTAATTTGAAATTCAACAAATACTGGTGTAATTTAAGTTCTGAAATAAATCATTACAGGAATAAACATTCACGTTAACCCATCATTCATTAATATAGAGTATTGGACACATTATTAAAACACTGGATTTAAACACATTGTCAATTCAACAAAATATGATTATGTATACTTTATTAAATAACAAAGTAATTTTAGATTAGAAGTCTTGTGTGTTCTGCAGCGTCCTGATATCCTGTGTGACATCACACAGGATTGGTTATGGATATGGGTCAAGATCATAGATTCCATATTTGCACCACAAAGTCAGCGTGGTCTGACCAAATGAGTGTGGCCTGTCAGTAAAAGATTAACTCCTGGTCATTTTGATTAAATACATGGCCTTTGGCACGTCGCACACCAAATAGTATTATCACGTTTTTAGCCCCATTGACATGCATTCATTTATTTTCGTTCTTCTGCAGACCCATGGTCCGTGAGTAATTGGCCGTGTTCGAGATGAGCCAGTTCTGCGCAGATTAGATCAGCGGTGATCGGCGAGCAGTGCATGCCGGTTAGATTTGTGTCCGACTTGACGCCGACTTGCTCTGACGTCATGCCTACGTAGGCAACGATAACCTCGTGAGATCAAGGCGGCCGCAGATTTTGGAGCAAGGCGCTGCAGTTGCTCTCCATCGGCTGCAAAACCTAGGGGATGACGGGAAACGCCTGGCTCTCACCTGATCTAAGATCGGATTGGTTCACATTCTGATCCAAACATCTGGTGGTAGAACATGAAATGTTAGTTGGTCACATGTATTCTGTAAATCCTGTTACGTTGATGATGACAACTATATAGGCCATAAAGAGAAATGTGTTTTGTTTTCTTTTGTCACGTTTCCTATGAGCACACTGAACCTACAGTTGATAACCTTTACTTATTATTACAGTCATGTCTTAATATACAATATATGATATCCACAAGCACGTGAGGATGTGTTTCAGCTGCTAACCGGCACCAGAATTAAAATAGATAATTAAACAAGTATGAACTCTAACGCGATATCTTCATCCGTCGTCACCCGCGAGCTACTCATGTCAGGAAATCTGTCCGACTTAAACGCCGGCTTTCAGCCACTCCCCCTGCTGCTTCTGTCTGCTCTTGTCTGCTTGCCAGGCGAGGCGCTGGTCAACTCGAACATGGCCATTCTATTTGGTAAAAGATTAACTTTGTTGTCTTTATCTAAGTGAATCTATAATTAATTCAACAGATGAACTTGTAGTAACACATTCTATGTTAAAGAAAGTAAAATGTTAATGTCAGGAGAGGGAGAGTGTTAAGTGAAACATTCATAAATAGGTTTTCTAATTGAACAATTTGTTCCATTTCATAGATTTTTCTGACATTCACTTTATCAGTCAGGCTTCAGTAGAACAAACAATTCACTTGTATTGGCCTGTTTTATAAACAAATTCCTCAATCTGAAATATTGAAACCAGATGCTGGAAACGGGGGGAACTACCACAGCATCTGTTATAGCCAGACTGAAACATTTTTCCTTTTATGTTACAACTCATGCATTTCAAATTTGGATATTCATGCATATACTTGTAAATATTGCAGGATTTGTTTTACAGCAGGTTTTTAAATTACAAGCAATGCTATGATGATGAAACTTTACCAAAGTCAGCTCTAAATAAAACATCTTTGTTTATGCCATTTACGAACAAGTATGCACACAAGATTTCTGGTATGCAATGAGACTAATTTAAAATGATTTATGTTTCTAAAGAGGAGCAGTAAAAATATTCCAATCAGTCATCTTTTTTCAACCCACATGAACAAAAATGGAGAAAATTGCCTCTGACTCATCCAACACATTATTTAGATTCAATTTGCACATCTGACAGAGGATATTCTGAGCCCTGGCTGACACCGACCACCTCTGATTAATTAGTCAAACCTGACAAATATGCTCAGGCAAAATGCCACACTTGTTTATTCTAGTGAAGGAGAGATTGTTTTTATCCTCTGAAGGGAGAGGAAAATGTGGGTATTTGATCTCCTCAGTGATCTGGATCTATTAATTGTGTTTCCCAGGCTCCTAATCTTCACTGGAAGCTCGTCTACAACTGATTTGACTTTTGAAGACAACCTCTTCTTATACTTAGAGAAATAAAATGCGGATGCTGCATCCGGTACATTCTGTCTGTATGCCTCAAACACACACCCACACACGTGTGCAGACTAAGTCAAGCAGCGTCAGGTCGATCCCTCCTTCGCAGATGAAAGATTCAGTAATCTGCAGCAGAATTAAACACGGATTTGAATATTTCGTTCCCTTCTGCCCCTCTGCTTTCCTTTAATACCTTTCTAATCTCCACAGTCAACACCTCAGGATTCCTCGTGTCTTCAGTTCCTCCCTGAGCATGCACACGCATGCGTGGATGCACATAATGTCGTCAAAGCAGAGACAAAAGAAATAATCCTTTCTTTTTAATGTTCTATGAACCTTGATTCTGATACAGAAGTTGAGTTATATTTTCAGTAAAGTGCCCAAGACTCGACACAGCTGCTGTCATTTGTCACAGTCTGAGCACAAACTGACCGAATCAAATTAGGTCTTTGTCACGTCACACTGGAAGACATGAATCGCTTCTGCTCATGAGTCTCACTCTTACTGACCGTCCTAAAATAATACTTATAAATAGGGATGAGCGAGTACACCACTACCTGTATCTGTTCAACCATCTAAATTATTTGTATCTGAACTCGGAGTAGGCGTGACCTAACCCGGAAGTGGGTGTGGTTTATATCAATACGTTATTTTAAGTCTGATCAGAAGTTGCTATGTGTATTGTTTATTTGAAAACTATTTTTAGAGCAGCCTCAGAGTTGAGATTAAATGTTTTTGATCACAATAGTAAAGGAACTATTACAGAACAAGTTTTTCAATAAAATCAGAACATTAATATTTAAGTGCATGAATTAAGAGAGAGAGAGAAGAAAATATCTTTTCTATAGCGCCTCTCAAGATAAAAATCACGGGGTGCTTCACAAAAACAAAACATGTAAAATAGAAAAAAGAATTTAGAAAATGATTAAAATATGTTTAAAATGAGCAAAAATGGACAATTGTGATTAAAAAGTGTAAAGAAAGAGAGAGAGAGAGAGTGAATAGGAAAGAAGGAGTGGATCCTGAGGAAAAGGACAGAGAGAGAGGAAAAAAAACCCGACCGGCGCGGAAGCTATGACTTACGCAGCACGAGCCGTTTTCAGCTGTAAGTAAAGTAAAATGCACCACGTACGTTATGAAAAAAGTAACCAAATTATTTAATTAATTGGCTGCGCGTTCTCCTGTCCTCTGTCCTCCGGGCCACACACACGGAGCTGACCATCTCAGCTGTTATTTTTGTTAAGGAGTGTGCACGTACAGCATGCGCGCCCTGTGCACGAGCCTACTATTGAAGCTGCCGTTACACTTTTGGCCTGAGGGGGCAATCGCGAGCATAAAAATTCAAAACTCCATAAATTCCCTTTAACAGGTGATGCTCAGGAGTGTACTGGGACGACAATGTGGCCCTTACATTTTTATGATCCGTCTGCCTCAGAGCGAGGGGGGGGGGCTGCTCGCAAAGTTGTCTCTATTCTGCTGAGTGTGTGTGTGTGTGTGTGTGTGTGTGTGTGAGAGAGTGTGTGTGTGTGTGTGTGTGTGTGTGTGTGTGTGTGTGTGTGTGTGTATGTGGAGTTTTCTCTGTTCTGCTGAATGTGACAGAAGGCGGGAGGGCTCGCTCCTTGGAGTTGCCTCTACTCCGCTGAGGGGCCTGATAGGCCAGTCCACCCCTGGCGGTGTGATGAAGAACACATTTTACACCAGATTCTGTCATGGATGTGTCTCACACCTACAGCGACTGTGATGAAACTTACACACGTTCAGAGGGAATATTCTCACACAAAGAAAATCTGACTATGTGACAACCACGCACACTGAGTGTTTAGCTCACTGACTACATCAGGGGTGTCAAACTCAAACTCACACGGGGCCGAAATGAAACTCTGGGACGGAGTCGAGGGCCAAACTTAATATTTTTTGAAAAAGTGACGGCAAATTTGCACATTTTCTTTATCAACATATATGCAATTTTGAACCTTTAAATTTGGAAACAAACTTATTTCTGCATTAACACTGAATGTGGAATAACCAAATTACACACGAGCAAGTCAGTTTAAAATAAAAGGCATCAGTGGTATTCATTACTTGTGGTATAATCAGTATTTTATAAATCTTTTAAATGTTTTAAATCTTTTCTCACGGGCCAACAACAAAATAAAAATATCATTTTATCTTAAATGAAAATGCAACATCTCACCTGTTAACTTTCATGTTTTGGAGCAGAAAAAGAGCATAAAACCAACATATTTAAAGCTCAGTTTGCTCCACTGGTTTACTGTGATGCTCACCTGTTCCAGCCAGATTCCTGCATCATGGGATTGATCTGAGCTGAGGAGGAGACTCCTGTTGTTTTGTTCATCTTCATCATAATAATGACAACATTAGATGACAACAGATGCTCACATAGGTTTGTGCTGATGAACATGTCTGAGCAGCTTGACCACGTTGTTGTGTGTCGGGGAGGAAACACAACGACAGCGACCACAGAGCCGTGCTGGTTTGAGCGTGTCGCTGTTCGCTGGAGTTATATCAGCTCTGTCTGGAAGTTAGTTGGAAAACTTTCTCTTTCAGTCGTGAACACATTACTGAGCAGCTAGAATCTCCGTTTCTGGGCTTCGACGTCAGAAAATAGCTGAGTGAACTCGGCGCTGAGTGAGAGGAGTGTAGTTTGTCCGAGACAGCGGAGCTGCAGACACCGGCAGCAGGCGCTGGAAAAAACACAAAGGAGGGGGCGCGTCGGCTCCGCGCTGACGCCGCAAAGCATCATGGGAGTTGAAGTATTTGCTGTAAAATCGGCCAGCTGGCCAGTTTTAATATATTTTTTATATTTATCTCGCGGGCCACAACTGGCCCGCGGGCCTTGATTCTGATATATGTGGACTACATCATGTCAAACCTGGACGTTAATAGAAACCCAAGTTCAAACCTTTGTAAACAAAGAGCAAATGCAATGTCATCAAACCAAATGAAGCAAAAAGAAGTAATACAGACAGAAATCCTGAATAGTTAAAGTAAAATCCATTAACAAGTCAAAGATGTAGGGAAAAGTGAAAGAATTTGCCCCTTTGGTCAGATTTTGGAAGTAAAGTCCCAGATGATCTGCTAGTACTTGTGTTTTAAATGACAATTAATTCACAACCATGGAGGTCAACACATTTAGTCTTATAACTGACAGGTATCCACAGCCCCGTCTAACATCTACAATCAAACTTTATTGTTTAAATATGTTCAACCAAAGAGATAGAGGTACAATGCTTCAAAACGTGCTGAAAATCAAAGGAAAAAGAAAAAAAAAACAATGTATATCAATGTCACCAAATAGAACAAGAGTTGTGTCGATCCACTTATACTCCATCCATGCACAAGATATATATGGAAGCGCACAGGCAAGAATCCACAGGAGAGTTCTCAGAGCACACAGTGTCAAAGCTAGCCTATAACACACACAACGTCCAGCCTTCTCTAGGTGAGATGTCAGATCAGCACCAAGCCCTCACAATGCGGCTCAGAAAGTGGTCTCAACCCGGAAGTACCAAAAATTGCAGTTCCACTCTCATCCGCTGGGGGCTGGTGTCAGAAACGAGCAAATCCTCATTGACTCCCATGTTAAAAATACCAATTTCACAGCAGAAATAAACATGTTTACAGCCTGGTCCCAAAACATGTTTTTGGTTTAAATTTTATAGTTTACACTCATGACAACTCTGAGGGGAATGAATTTTGTTCTCACTCTTCTGTTTAAGTGTATTAAAAGCCTAAAATTCTGTATAATTAATAAGCATCAGACCCACATGACCACAGAGCTAGCTCCGTGGAAAGGCTTCAGTAGAGCCTCGGTCTGGCTTGGAAACTGTTTCGGGATTTTGAGTCTCTGTGTTTGTGTATTCTGTTTTGGATATTATTTGTGCAATTGTTGGACAAAATGACTTGCTGTGGCATTAATTACATTAATAGAGCATCCAAGGAGTCTCCAATTCATTTTTTTCGGGAAGTTAAATTATATGTTTGTATTTTAGGTCACTGCCGCCTTTAAACTAGCTGAGTTTATCGAAGTAGCTAGCTAACTATCATTTTAATATGTAGCATGTACTGTTTAACCATAAAATTTAGATGTAAAATACGGTAAAATAATTAATAGGGCATATGTCGATGGGTAAAAGGGTAAAACCCAGTGCATTTAACATAAAAATGGGTTGAAATATGACGGAGCTCTTGGAGGGGCACTTCTGTGTTCCATTCTTCCACCCGGTTCTCCCCAGCGGTCAGCATGTCTGACCGATGGGTGCCTACTAGCTGCTGCGCGGGCTGACCGCTCGTGGAGCTCTCGCACGGGGCTGACCGCTTGTGGAGCTCTCAGACTCATAGAGAGACCTGACCGCAGAAATACTGCAGCTCAATTCCCTACCTAAATGCAAAGTTTGAGAGACAGGGTTAACTTAATTTAGCTAACATCAGTCTGCACTGCATTCGGGCTAATTTGTCAAGTTCACAAAATGTGGAACGGGATGTAAGGTTAGAATCAGCGGCGAATCGGAACATATCTCGAAGCCCTGGCCGGCGAAATGGTCCACATGACTATTACTGTCAGGCTCTGAGAAAATTCAGGTTGTTTTTGTGTCAGTCGATTCTGGAACAGTGACTCTAACTAACGCAGCACTAGTTGACAGACATCATTACAGCGTGACCCAGTTCTGTAAGGAATTCTGTTCAGGAGGTCGCATTTCAGGCTCTCCACATCATATGTGACTGACTTTTATGTTATAATAACGATCACACACTAGGAATGTTATAAAGTGCCTATATCTGACAGTTTCTTTTGTATATTATCTGACTTTATAAACTCCAACAACAATGTGGTTCTATTTTTTTTTCAGGCTAAATCTACCCAAGACACTGGCTGTCAGACTGATTTAGTAGTCTGCAAGAATGCACTTGTCCAGCCTGACGTGAAGCCTTACCCGTAGCAAAGGTGAATTATTTTTAATAATCTTCTATGTAAACATTTTATTATCACCTTCTAGTTTTAATTTGTTTTACAGATTATTGTTTAAACGTGATTTTATGCTCTTTTAAACATTTATAAATGTGCTGTTTCTTTGTTTTTTACATAGCCACCCAGTTTAGAGCTCCCAGCTGCTGTGTGTCTTGTGACACAGGGACCATGATGGAAATTCATCTTCCAGAAAGTCTGGCTCATCATTTAGCCAGATTTCTAAGGTATAGGCCAAAAATGTTTAGGTTAGTTTTGATAAGGTCTGTGCATCTCTCATTTCATGACGTAACTTTTCATATTTTAGTTCCTGGGTGCCTTCAATGTGCAGGGACTGTCCAAGCAGACATTCTGTCGACATCAGACAAAGCTGTTAATTCCAACAGTGGCATCTAGGGCAAGCTGATTTCATCCAGGAGGCTACTGAATCTGGACCTGTGACTCTTGGTGGTGACATGCGAGCTGATTCACCTGGTGAATAAGTTTAAATTTATTTATTTTATTCATTTGCTATCAAATGTAAATTAAGTAATAACTTGCATTTCTTGAAGGACACTCAGCCAAATATGGCAGCTACACCATGATGGATCTCAAAAGAAACAAAGTTATTGATATCCAACTTGTACATGTACAGTATTACCTGATGATTCCAATATATTTCATGGTTAATTATTCACAGATCAATGGAGAATTATGTTTATTTTCAGAGCAATGAAGTTGGAAATAGTGTGCGAATGGAGAAGGAGGGATTTGTGCCAAGTCTGAGCACACTTTTGGAGAGGGGGGTTGATGTGCAGCAAGTCGTGACTGACCGCCACACAGGAGTGCAGAAGTATTTGCGGGAGGAAAAAAAGGAAATCAGTCACGACTTTGACCCCTGGCACATGGGAAAAGGTAATCTTTGGGGATGTATATAGTGAATATTACAGGATTTTGTTTTCTGTTTTAAATGTGGGTCTATTTGGCTCTCCAGGAATTGGTAAGAAAATCGAAGAGCTGGGGAAGAGAAAGACGACCCAGGATGTGAGACCGTATAAGCAAAGTGTGGTGAACCACCTCTACTGGTCAGCATCCCTCTTTATTCCAGATTGGTTCAGCATTTACATGCTAATGTGGTGATATGTCACAGAGTGGTAATGTTGTTCTTATGTTTAATGTTCTTATGTTATGTTTTATATTGCATGTTTTCTAATTGATTAGGTGCTTTTAGGTTGATTTTTAACTGTTTGGGTGTTTTTAGTGATTGCTGCAACATTGCATCCCATCTGTGTTAATCCTCCCCAATTGCCCACACCTGGGAGCGGGGTGTGGACTGGCAAACAATGTATTACATTACATTACATTAAGTATTACATTTAAAGAGCAATACTTTCACATTATCATTTTCCCACACTTTCTGTATACCTGTATTATGTTGTTTTTCAATAAAGAATGACAAATTATTTAAGTTTATGGGTTTTTTTAGCACACAAATATCTATCTGTAAAAAATATCTACAAAGCTAATATTTACATAACAAGTATGATTTGGTTTTGAAATACAGCACTCTGTTTATTTTAGTAAGATTTTTGAACCAAGTAAAGTTAGTAAAGAAAACATTTCTATTGGCTGCTAAGAATCTGTTGGACTTAAAATGGGCCTGTTGTAGAAACAACTTGGCATAAAAGGTTCTTCCTTCCTTTTTTGTCTTAACCAAAGAAATTCCAGTAATTGAGCAAAAACATTTATTTTTTTACATCACATTTTATAAAATAACAGGACACAAAGTGTCGGGACATTTAAAAAATACTTAAAATAATAAAAGGGGCCCAGAGAGCTGCAGAGTGAGTGGAACATTGGGTTGTGAAGGAAGAACAGTTCTCAACAGTGTGATATGAGGGTGTAGAAGGTGAAGCCGGTGCAGGTCCTCCTTCATGTCCTCCAGATTCACACTGCTGACCACCCCCATGTCATTGCCGCCACAGTGGATGAGAAGGACATCAGGAGCTGCTCTTCCATGCATGGAGTTGAAAAAGAAGGGGAGAAGGTCTTTCCTCCTCAGTCCGCCCCAACCGAACCAGGAGACACGGACGTCAGGGAGGCCAAGGTTGTGTCAGAGGGTCTCTGCAGCTCTCTGGGCACCACGCCTCACTCAGCTGTCACCGATGATCCAAATGGCTATGGAGAAAAAAATAACAGGTTTGGCCTAGCTGTTTAAAGTACCAAACCATACATGAAGTGGTCAAGACAGGTATTTGGAACTTACACTTGCTGCGTTGTGTAGCTGATGTTGGAGACACACAGGCTGCCATGGTGACCTTTAAACAAATCTAAGAAAAAAATGTAATAAAAGAATGAAACTTAAAAACTCCCAGACCACATTTCATGATTGCTAATCAGCTATGGCTGATTTATTGTTTGGCTCACAGTGAGTTACACTAATTCTAATATATTTGTATTTCTATTACACATACATACTTTTTAACTGTTATTTTCACATGACTGTTATCAGGCTGTCTTGTTCTGGTTCTCATGATAATAATTCTGTTTCTTCCAGTAAGTTATCTTGTGCTTACTTCATCTGTAGAATGTCTCTTTACTTTTGGTGAATTGTACTGAGTCCAGAATAAAGGCTACTTGGCTGTACAAGATACAAACAGGTATTACGTTTTGGAAATATATGAAATGTATTTAGCCTGCTAATTTATCTCAAATACTAATAACTACCGTATTTTCCGGACTATAAATCGCACTTTTTTTCATAGTCTGGCCGGTCCTGCTACTATGGAGCGACTTATATAACAAAATATGTAGGCTACACCGCGCTGCTGCGGGCCGACTCCGACCCAAGAATGAGTTCCCCTGTCCCGCTGGGAGGGTTTCGAACACCGCCTTCTTCTGCTGGAGGCCGTGGCGCGCTGCTGCGGCGCATTATTCAGTTATTGTTACCGGTACTTGTCTTGCAATGTGAAACGCTTTGTCTCAGATTTTGTAAGAAAAATCAAATTTCCCCCCAAAATACGACTTATATATGTTTTTTCTTCTTCATTATACATTTAATGGCTGGTGCGACTCAGGAGCGACTTAATAGTCCTGAAAATACGGTACGTAAAAAATAACTTATAAACTTACCGATTTAATATTTTTTATTCACAGAAAGGTACTTCTCATGAAAAAGCGCTGAAAACCTCCACCTGAACTCCATGCGGTCGATGGGTGTTCCACAGAGTTAGCTCCGGTTGTAGCTAGGTGGCTACATCCGTTAGCTCAGCTCCCACCTCCGCGTTAGCTTTGGGTTAGCTTCAGGTTAGCTTGTAGCTAGTTCGACCAGGTGTCGTCAGTTGATCCCAGCCTTCCAGCCCCACTCTCAGCTCCTCCTCTCTTCCCTTTTATGGAATTGTCTAGGCTTGACGGAACCTGTGACACGGTCAAAATGGCGGTGGTGGCCACTCCCATTTTAGCACAAAAACTTGTTATTGGAGTCTATGGAAACCCATTGTCCATATATTAATGTCGATGATCAGCACCAGAGGCAACGCAAGCTGGCTGCAGATGTAACACCACAATACAAAGTCCCATCGCAGCACCAAATCATGCAGATTCACACACTTTGTAGTTCAATCAACATCACAGCAGATTCTTGTTTATCATTCACTTATTGTTTCCATTGTCTATGCCTCATGTCTTACTCGTTTTCCCACTCTATTATGTTATTTATGGTCAAAATCTAGTGTGACTTTTCCCTTATCACTTCATGGATTCATTGCTTTTGTTCTCCTAAATGCCAATTAAGGATCTGGTTCCTTTGCAAAACTATTCAACAACGTTGCTCAAGTGTCTGATCTCATGTTCACACAAGAATATTAGTTAAAGTAATGGCACACAAAAAGCCACAGTAGTGGTATGGAGCAACTCTGCACACGTTCTCAGGAAGCATCAAGACAGTAACCACACAGTTCTGTAATTGAGAACTCCTCCATGTCAATGCAATTGGTCTCAGCAAGTGGTCACAACTTATAGAGACACATAACTCTCGTGTTAAGCACACTTGCCTTTGTGTTAAATTGTATTTTTCAGTTCCAAATGGATAAACGTGATGCTCCGTCTTTGCCTTGTTCCACTGAGTACAGATGGGATTGGAGGTACTTACTGGGCTAAGGTTTAGACAGGCGAGACCAGTCACAGCGCTAAGCTCTGCTAGGAAGACAGATGGCCCATGGAAGATGAATCTATGCATCCACATCCAAAGGCAAAAAGAAGTGGAAAAAGAAAAATCTGCATAGGAAAATGAGGTAGATTGGGCTCTAGTGTTGTTCTGAGGCTATCAATGTTGAAACCCCAAAAAGAGAAGACAACATTTGTATTTTGGCTATGCATTTTCATTTTTGCTTATGCAACAAGAATGAAAAATGTGTCATGACTTTATATGAAGACTGATTGCAGTTTCCACCCTTTGAACCTTAATATAAGGGTCCTTCTCCCAAGTTTGTGCAATCACACCAAGGGGTTTGTGATGTGGCTGGAGGATGAGGGCAACATCAGGGGAACAAGCTGTTTTAGCAACACCATAAAAAAAAGATTTGCAGACCAAAGCGAAAGTGAAATTGAACTAAAACTTGCAGCAAAACCAGCGTTAACCACCAGGACTGCTCCATTTCCACCTAGAAAGCACTTCAACCCTCCTGTGAGGAGATAATTTTGGCTCCTAAAGCTGCTAAAACAGAAATTCAGAAACAATTTTTTTAATGATTATTTCTGATAATCAGTCACTGAGTTTTTCAAGTAGGCTGAACATGAAAATAGTCTCCTACACCTATCTCCTGCATTAGTTTTTGATAGAAAATAGATGGTGAATCTCTAGGATTAGTAAAGCCTGACAGATCTACGTCACACTGTCACTTAACATTCACTGACTCACCAATCTTGAGTCACAACGAGGAAGGCTGTTGCTGGTTTAGCATCCAGGAAACAGCAGAGAATGTTTCGACTAGTAAAAGCTAACCATTAGCATTAGCAACTCCACCACACAGCGGAACTCCTCCAGGCTTGTGTTATTTGTGGAGAATGCGTTTATAATTTATAGAATGTGCGTGTGGTTTATATTTGTTAATACAGATGTGAAATCAATTTTTGTAAAATAATCGTGGTAATCACGAAACCGTGATTATTTCTCAGACTATAATCGTACCACCAAAATGTTTAATCGTTGCAACCCAACGCCGAACCAAACAAACGTTGCTCACAGCCAATAAAGGTTGGTATATGGAATGCCAAAAGAGTCATAATATGTGCATTTGAAATAGTTGCAAGCATCGCAGGATTACAGCTTATTAGAAAAAATTCCATGTGAAGATGAAAGTGAAACTGCCATGCTCTTAACTCATTCACTGCCATTGACGACTAAAGTCGTCATTTTAACTCCAACCGTTCACTGCCAATGATCACTTTAATCGTCATTTGCATTTTTTTACTGTGTGGGCGTCGGAACGAGTCCCCGCACTGTGAGAACAAACATCTCAGCTCTAAAGCCGATCTTCATCCACATACATCACACGTCACGTGATCAGGAAGCAGAAAATCCATGTGTTAGGAGATCGTTTTGGGCCGCTGCTGTAAAAAAAAAAAGTGAGGTGCAAACCGGAAAAGCTTCTGCCGATCACAGTTCAACAACAGATTATAAAAGAATGGATAACGCTCGAAACGCGTGGATTCTTCCTGATGTAAGAGGTGAGTCTCTGCTTTGTTTTGGTTGTTTTAGCGTTGACATCATCCTAGTGCTCAACGTTCTGTGACTCTTAAAAAAACAGTAAAAGTGGTGAGAAACACTGGCAGCGAAGGGCTTTACCGATCAGGGAATGTCTGGAAGTGATACTCTTAAAAGAATCACCACATAAATAGGCTTCCATTCCAATTCTACCACATGAGCCCACAACATAATCAAGCCCAAATATCCCAGAACAATGTCTTGGACATTTTCAGGATGTGGCTAACAGCCAATCATTAGCATGACGCCAATGGCTTGCTACAGCTGTAGCTTTGATATGAGGTCAGCGTGATCAGTCCTGCTTCAAATTCCTGATTGCCAAGTCAAGTTGGGGGGTGTGGGCCCCATATCATACACTGGCATGAAACCACCATGCTACATCTAGCACACCAGTATGATGCTGCCAGTATGATGTTACCATTACAATAAACCACCAAGATCTTGCTAACAGTCTGGTATATGCTCAGAACCATCAAGAGCGTGTTACAGTTCAGTCTGTGTATTGGGAACCTACTTCTAGGACCATCCACATTCTGGAATCTGGAATTCTTGCATACCTTTAAAAAATTAAAAAGTACATGTTATAATTCTATAAAGAATTTTATGAACAAATACAACAACTTTCGACCGGAAAAGGGCGGCTTGCCAACTCCGGGTCAGGAGAGAGGTCCTACCTCAAGTAGAGGAGTTTAAGTATCTCGGGGTCTTGTTCACGAGTGAGGGTAGGAGGGATCGACAGGTGGACTGGTTCAGCGTCTGCAGTGATGTGGACGCTGAGACAATCTGTCGTGGTGAAGAGGGAGCTGAGCCAGAAAGCCAGGCTCTCGATTTACCGGTCGATCTACGTCCCAATCCTCACCTATGGTCATGAGCTTTGGGTAATGACCGAAAGAACGAGATTGCAGATACAAGCGGCCGAAATGAGTTTCCTCCATTGGGTGGCCGGGCTCAGCCTTAGAGATAGGGTGAGGAGCTCGGACATTCGAGAGGGACTCGGAGTAGAACCGCTGCTCCTCTGGATCAAAAGGAGTCAGTTGAGGTGGTTTGGGAACCTGGTCAGGATGCCTCCTGGACGCCTCCCTGAGGAGGTGTTTCGGGCATGTCCTGCAAGCAGGAGGCCCCCGGGTCGACCCAGGACACATTGGAGAGGTTATATCTTGGGGTCCTGCCGAAGGAACTGGTGGAGAAGGCCGGGGAGAGGACGGTCTGGAGCTCCCTAGTTGGGATGCTGCCCCCACGACCCAGACCCGGATAAGCGGAGGAAGACGACGATACAACAACTGATCCCTAATCGGTCTCTTTGTTCCCCTTCCTGCATATTTCTATACGCCAGAAGTATTCTGTCATTTTTCTAGTCAACATAAATTCTTGCTGATGATCAGGAGGAACAAACTCATCCCAGTTCTGAAAACAGTTAACACCCTTTTTCCTCGATGTTTTCCCAACATCCTTGATAAATTCCTCCTCCATCCATATTCTTGACTGTTCCCTTGACCTTTTCTCTTCCACTTTCTCTTCTCCCCGTCCACTTCCATTAGCCGCTGCCTATCTAGTATTTTAGCCTTTCACTTTTTATGTTGCTTATCTGATCCACTCCTCCTCTTCTAGGTTCCTGTCCATCCAACCTCCTTTACCATCTATTTATCTACCCCTCTCTTACTCATTTGTCATGCTCCAGTGCATCCCTGTTTCATTAAGAGAATACCATCAGGTGTATAAACTCAATCACACTCTTGACTCGGGTCATTCGGGTAGGAAGTAATACATTACAATTCACGAGTGCAGTTCAATGTATACTTGAGTGTCTATGTTGTGTATATTTTAGCATGAACTAGCATGAACATAATTAGCAGAGGTGTGGAAATTGAGTCACATAACTTGGACTCGTCAGACTTGAGTCATTATTTTAATGACTTCTGACTTGACTTGATAAAATCTATAAAGACGTAAGACTTGATTCAGACTTGAACGCTAATGACTTGTGACTTGAATCGATTGGCATCTGTTGACTTGATGATGACTTGAGCATATTTGATATTTTGGCACAAAAATGGCACGACATTACAGTTTTTTACAGACATTAGGACCCATTTCTCAATACTTAGGTCACATTTGAAAAACTCTACATACAGTGTGCCGGGCCAAACTGAGGATCAATTATCATTGCTTTGGCACAAAATGCATTGAGTGACTACATCTCTCAAATGTCATGAAGTCCCTTCTCACTCAGACACAACAACTGCCAAAAATCATTGTACTAACAGGACATTTTGCACTTGCTTACATACTGTTGACAAAACTGTAAAACTTATGTTCAAAACAATAACATACTACAAAACTGAATATGACAGCAAAATCCAACAGCAATATGTTATTGAAACATAAATGCAGTTTAACCAGCCACAGCTGACTCTAATTGTAGATGAACAGCTGCACAGGTGTTACACTTTCAATGTCATTATAAAAGTAGTCAACTGCTGAATAGGTTTGTGTTGTGATGTAAACATGGACCCAGCCAGAAATGGAGAAGTGGCTGAAAGAGGAAGAATAGAGGCTGGGAGAGGGCGAGGAGTACGTATGCGTGGTGGCAGAAGAATAAGAGAAAGATCAAGAGCTGGAGTCTGAGATCAGAGCTACTGTAATTGATCATGTAGTAAATCATGGTCTCTCAATGAGAGAGGCTGGTCAGAGAGTGCAGCCCAACCTGCAACGCTCTACAGTGGCACCTATTGTTAGAGTTTTCCCGCAGACCAACAGGTAACTTGTATTCTACAAGGGCATGTGACTCAGTTGCACATGTCAGATGTAAATAATGTCATGTGTAATTGTTTTTGCATTTCTGCTTACTAGGACTCAACAGTTACCTCACACAAGAGGGAGAGGAAGGATGTTCACTGATGTGCAGGAAACCGCCATTGTTATGGTTATCGGAAACAATGGGATAAAGCTCACTGAGATCAGACACAGTATCTTGGCAGACAACGTTACCTTTGCAAATATTCACAGTGTAAGCCTAACTACAATTTCTAGAGTCCTGAAGAAACATCAGGTCAGGATGAAACATTTGTACACTGTGCCTTTTGAGAGGAACTCTGAACATGTCAAGCCACTCAGGAACCAATATGTCCAGGTAAGAACTGTTACAGTAATGAACAATACCAACACACACAAAGACAATTTGTACACATGTACTACAGTAATGTAACAGCTTATGTTGCCTTGTGGATTGTTTTCAGAGAGTCATGGAGATTGAAGGCATGCAAACACACCACATTTTCATCTATGTGGATGAGGCAGGTTTCACCTTGGCCAAAACACAGCGACGAGGGAGGAATGTGATTGGGAAGAGAGCCACAGTGAATGTCCCGGGCCAGAGGGGTGCCAACATCACAATGTGCACAGCAATATCCACTGATGGACTGCTGTTACATAGACCAGTAACTGGGCCATACAACACTGGACGACTCCTTGCGTTCCTGCATGATCTCTATGGAAGGGTTGTGCCAGGTGAGGAAAGGGATGTGGATAGACGGAATCAGCCAACATGTATAATTGTATGGGACAATGTGGCTTTTCACCACTCCCATGCAGTCACAGAGTGGTTTGTGGCCCATCCCAGAATGGAGTCACTTTTCCTCCCACCTTACTCTATTCCTCAACCTCATAGAGGAATTATTTGCCTCATGGCGGTGGAAGGTGTACGACCATCATCCACATGATCAAATGTCCCTTCTGGATGCGATGTATGCTGGATGCCTGGACATATCAGCAGTAGATTGCCAGGGATGGATCAGGCATTGCCCTAGATGACATAAGATGTGATGTGGATGAGAACCTGTGGCCAAATGGAGAAGACCGAGTAGATTAGCATATTGAATCTGTATCAGTGGATGTTGTGTTTGCAAAGTCTTGTGTTTTGGAAGTACTTAGTGCAAAAACAAATACCATTAAAAATAAATGAACAACATGAAATATTGACTAATTCTGCATCATGTCTGATTCATTCCAGTAACATCTATTGG